GGTGAAAAGAATTGCTCGCATAAAACAATCTTATGACCGCATAATAATATACCGTATTTGCATCCGCTTTGGTAAAGAAATTTTTTTTGAGTGCATTGAACCAAAATTATTAAAAACGTATTTACGCTCGAATAAGTCAGTACATTAAAAAATAATATTATAAATCTATAATAACAATTAAAAGATAATGTTATATAATATTCAATTATTATTATTCAATATATAATATAATATTCAAGAAAAATCTCAATCAAAATGTAATAAAATTTATTAACTTATTTATTAACCTTTATAAAATTTATTAACTTGTTTATTAATTTTTTTTAATTTGAATTTTTCATTTATAGATAAATTCTACCTTATCTATATTGATTTTATTATCTATAATTTATATTTATATATTATAATTTTATATTTTTTTATTGGGGCCTCAAGTCTTTGCTTCGAATGCATGCTTATATTATTTTGTATTAAGACTAATCGAGTTTTTTCGAAAAAAACTTGTTCTTCATGACAATCAAAGAATGGTAGGAAAGCTAGATGCGAAAAAATATACGTGACCAATAAATCGCAATATATTCATGCGTCTGCGAAGAATAACATGAAGACCGCGCTATTTGCGAGAAATTCTACGAGTCAGTGGAAACACGTTTGGTTCTTCCATCGTCGACATGGTCGACGAGTCTTGGTGTCAGGGAAGGTTAGGTATGGGTTCTTGCTCGATGTCTGGTGACCCGATTTGTATGACTGTCTCTGAGCTTGGACGTTAATACTCTCGCGAAAAGTATCGAATCCGATAATTTCATACAAACATCACTTACTTCCGTTTCTCTTCTTCTTTAAACTATGACTTATTTTTTTATTTACAATTTAATAATTTTTTTAATTTTTTAAATTGATTATTGATGTATTTTGACTATTTGTTAAAGATTATAAGTAGTAATTGCGGCAATTATTATTTTTTTATGAAAAATCACATATTAAATGCAAGATAAGCAAAACTCATATTCAATATTTTTCAAAATCTCTCAAAAAATCTCTAAAATAATTCACGCAATTTATTATTCATAAATTATTATTCATAAAAATTTTTATTTATAAATTATTATTCATAAATTATTATTCATAAATTATTATTCATAAAAAAATCTTAAAAAATGAAAACTATATATATTCTCCCTCTATATCTCTTCCAATTATATCAATGAATATTACATATAGATGAAATATATTTATACATATATTATCTCTATAAATTAAAAAAAAATTTAAATTATTTTAAAAGTATTTGGATATTAATTTATTTACTTGCGTTTAAAAAATATTATTATTCAGTTAATCAAAGAGTTCGATCAATCGCACTAATATGTTACTTCTCGAGCTTTTCAAATACGGACATTCGCCTTTGCCTTTGAAAAGGATTAAACCAAGGCGAACTCTTATTGTGAAGCCTGACTGACCGTCAGTTTTTGTCGAGTGTCTGCGTCCCGGTTATGCGACCGCCAGGTGCAACATATATTAATACATGTGTCTCACGAGTTTGTGATCGTGTCACTGCTTTATCGTGCTGAGAAAAAAGTTTGTCCTCGCACATTTGCACGTATTTCCCTCGACTTTCCGAGTACCGTTTTACTCTTTTGCGAACACCATTGTTGGGATATCATAAAGAAATTCAATTCGCTCTATCTTTCAAATTAAAAACGATGCAAGAAGAAAAATATACATATATTCTTATAACAATACTGTGTGTGTTTATTTAAAATAAATTATCTCTTTGTTTGAAAAAATTAAATCATGATAAAAAAAACTAGATTTATTATATCACCTATTAAGAATGCAAAGAGAAGATTTATGCGAGGCCAATACCAGTATTTCTGGCATGCGTAGATTGTGTCCATCTTTATTTTTCCGGTGGCTACCGCTGTACACACTATGCGCGTGTGGTAAGAACTGTTACTGTTCTGCTGTACGAACTTTCGAATGATATTGAAATATTCAAACCGCGTAGCTTCAAAAATTCCGACTAGTGCTAAAATCAAAATAGATCAATTTTTAAAATATTAATATTAAAAGGGTATTTCATAAAGTACAAATATTTTGCGATAATTTTATGGTACAAGAAAATTAAAAAAATTAAATATTTTAAATAAATTAGAATCAATATAAAAAAGTAAAATTAAAACTAGAAAAGAAAAATTAACTTAGAAAATTACAATATATGTATTTGTGAAATGCTACATTTTATCGAGAAAGATGGTTAAATCATTAATGATTGCCCTCAACATGAAAGAAGAGCTCCTGTCGAAGTAGCTGTAATTATTCGCAAAACCACATGCTTCCTGGCTGCAGTTAATTATTCTTCGAAGGATTAATCATGTCAAACGTGATGCATATACATGCGATCGACTAGATGCAACACATATTTATGCGTGATTTCAAACTCAAAAATGCATCTTATTTATCCTATATTATCCGGTATGTATATCGCTTATTCTTAGTAGAATACAAAATAAATTGCGTAAATATATATATTTATAAACATATATTTTTAATACATATAAATAAGAATAATGGCAATTTCTTCTCTTCTAAAAATATAAAGTATTTATAGAAGTAAATATATTTTATCTCTTATAAAAATATCGTTTCACGAAATAGTTTCTACTATCTACTTTAATAAATAATCGATAAGATATTGCAATTACTTTATCAGACTTTGATTTATTTAAAATGATAATAAGATTCATCTTATGAGACGCACTGCCAAGAATTAAATTGCAATTACGAGATTCAATTGCAACTATTTGTGCACTCGACTAATTAAAATCTTTAGCGTTCAAACGATTGTCGGTATGTTCGTTTACATGCAAAACATTCGTCATCCTCCTTTTCTTGTTGCATTCTTCGCTCGAACATACATTCTCGTAATCGTGTCGCAACTGTTACCGCGTGCACGAACGATCGGTTGCTCTCTGGGTTTCTTCGACAATTATCTGAGTTGTGGAAGAGGGATTTGACAAAAGACCGACTTTGAAAGGCCTTCGCAAGACTTTCTTAAGATATTATGAACTTTCTACTTGCTCAAAGAGAGTCCCGACCACTTGCTATCGAGAACGGTCATGAATATTGACATATATGTATAAATGACATCTTAGGGATTGACCAACAAGACAATATTTGATATTTCACATATTAAATTTGTTCATATTTATAACCTTGATATCATATTAATAAAAAATTAATTTTTCAAAACTTATAATACACTGTTAATTTAAAATTTATACCACCATTAAAATTTAAAATTTATACCACCATTAAAATTTAAACTTATAATACACTGTTAATTTAAAATTTATACCACCATTAAAATTTACACACCATTAAAATTTATGTACATATAATGTTGCAATTTTTTAATGGCCAGCAATATATAATAGAAATTATTTTCAAAACAAGCAAGAGGATATATTTAATTGTTACTAATATTTTACTATTATTTAGTATATTTTTATACATTTATGTAAATTTAGAATAAAAATGTATAATAATTTAAATATTTATCATGCTTATATTTTAAAAAATATTAACAATGATATCAATAATAAGTCAAATGTTTAATTATAAACGAATATAATTGTTATATATACATATTTTATTATTAATAAATAATTTATTTAAAAATTATATATACATACATTATATAAGGTCTTTATGAAACGATTTTTAATATTTATATTTGAAATTTCTTATGAATATTTACAAAAAAACTGAAATTATAACAAATAAGTTACTGTGTAAAGTCTTGATGAAACTATTGCTGCAAAAAGAAGTTTTGTTTTAGCAAAGTAACTTTTATTATAGCATACATATAGTCGATTTGTAGAAAAAGGAATCATTGTGAATATGTAAAATCTGTATCGAACGTAAATTATGTATCTTGAACAGTCGCTGTTTTATATAATAACAAAAAATATCTTTCTCTTTCTCTTTCTGATAAAAAATACATCACGTGTTTAAATAATGCACTAACGATTGCTCTTAATATCTTTATACATGCGAATGCATATGACTTTCTCTGTGATATATTAAAAAAAAGTATATGTATAATTCATCTCATTGTCAGATATATTCCTTCTCTCAAAAAAACCGCTATGTTAAACAATTATATTTAGAAAAAAACATATAGTTAAGCAATAATTTCAAAATTATCTCGTTTAAAATATATTTTAAACATTCTAGCTCCAGAATTTATATTGCATCATCATAAAAAAAATAGTTTATAAATTCCACGAGTATTTTTCATGTTGGAAGCTGTGGATCTTCTTTTGCGACATATCTTCGATTTCATAAATACTTGTGAAAGATCCTTGCTTTTTGAATCTCTGATTTCTCAACAACTTGCTTTAGAAATTTCTTAGTCCTCCGATTTCTTAGAGATTATAGAGCGTTGCATATTTCACAGAGATATTTACTACAATGTGCCTAGAACTAGTATTTTTTTATACATTCTTTACATTTATTAATTGAGTCTATTAATTAAAATGATCACACACAATAGAAATTTAATTTTTATTATTTAATTCAAAATTAGATCTCTTTTGCTTCGAGATTCTTAGAGATTTTTGCAGCATTTTTAGAACAGTCCGCAGAAATATTTATATACTGAGAAAAAAATCATTGATTATCGTTTTTGACTTAAATACTTAAATATTTCATTTAAAGGAATGATAACTAACTAAATGCATTTAGTCAAGTTAACGATTTTTTTTCTCAATGACATTTATTGTAATATTTCAGGACTATTAGTATTTTTTATGTATTTTGTGTACATTTTTTATTTATTAATTGAGTCTACTAATTAAAATAATCACACAATATAGATTTCATTTTTTAAAATTTAATTCTAATATTAAAATCATGCAATTTTAAAACAATACCATACAAATATATTTTAATCTTTTTGCCTCGATGCGTACGACAAGAACTTGCATTGAACTCACCAGCGCTCATCCAGAGGCACAGCGTCGCCGCCACGACAGGCAACCAGACCGACATCGCGCTACATCGATGATCCACGACGATGATGATCTGCGAGAAATCCCATTCGACACGTCTCGATATTCACAAAGATCACTCTCGAATATTTAGGAGATCCGTGTACACTTGTTTAATCTCGACACACCATCCATCTAATCTCTATATATAAATCCGCATTAAAGGAAATGATAGATTTCCCAAAGATGGTACTTTGAGAAGCGAAAGAAATCCAATTCAATATTCTAAGCTCGCAATATCGAGCGCAGATGATTGGTCAGCGTTGATTATTGCTGATAATGGCTATCCTTGCATTACGTACATCATCGTTTTTATCGCTATGTATATTATTTATCTATTTATACCATGATTCCTCTCATCAACCAAGCGAATTCGCTCTAGTTCTGGTTTCTCCCTGTGCATTTTTTTCTTATCAATTTTTTTGACATATATCACTGCGCTTTTACTAGTGAACGAGTAAGTATATTTCTTGATATCGACCAATATCCATTCGATCGTAGAATTTAGTTAAAAAATAAAAACGAAAATGTTACTCGAGTTCTCGACATATCGCGTACACTGATATACAAGTTCTCTCGTCAAATCAGCAATCGCCGCTACTTTCCCTAGATTCTTGAACAGCTATTTATCATTTCACAGTTAATTATTTCTCAATATCGAAATATGACACAATATATTTTAATAGTAACAGTCTTATAATGACAATTTCATAATTAAAAAATTAACCGATTATTATATTTCAATATTAACAATATCACATTTATCATCAGCAATTAATTTTTCTGGATAATGGTGTTGATTTGATTATTGATATATCAAGTTTTCTCACGACTCTCTCATCGGACTGGAGCCCGCCGCGGTGCCCAAAGACACCGTGGTCACAGAGTCCTCTTCAAGATCGTAATATCTAGTATAATTCTTGGAGAGAGATCCTCCACTGGTTTCTGAACACGCGTACGCGTACTCTTCCGATTTTTGGACGACGAATTTTTGCGCACTAAGGTTTGCACATCCTCGAAATATCAGAGGATCTAAAGAGACAGATCCGACAACGACTGGTGAACGGAGCACCGAAGACTGGGAGGCCGCGACGTCGCGACCTGTTCCTCGACCGCGCTCGACGAACTGGTACAGTGATGTATATCAATAATGGCCTTTCCTGGGCCCGTGATATAGAAAAAATTCGAGGTATTTGGAACTTTTAAAGAAATTACAAAAATAGAAAAAGATTCGTCGTATTAAAAATCGAGTTTCATAAATATCACTTTCTTATTATTATTGCGATGTGTCGAGGAAAAACAAAGCTTGAGAAATCGTTCGCAAAGATTAAATCGAAAGAAAGATTTAGAAAAATAAATTTCTGATTTTTATAGAATAAAATTTTTTATATAGAAATATATATAATTATAACTAATATAATTATACGTATAGTTATAATTATACATCGCATATAAAATTTTTATATTTTTAATATTTTTATTTTTTAAATATGTGTATAATTGTTCTGATTCTATATTTTACTATAATTATTTAATTAATGTATCAAATAAAATTTGAAATTAGAGATATAAAAATCGGAAATAATAGAAACTGGTTTTTTTAAATAGAAAATAAACATTAAAGAAGAACATGTTTTTTTAAATTTAAACAAAATAAATTAGTTTCTTTTATATTATTTATTTGTTATATAACCTAGTAATAACCTAAATAATTACATAATTATATAGCCAATTGGAATGTAACCTACATTTAAAGAAGTAATGATTAGTTTAAATTTGTCATCTAAAAAATCAAAAATAATAAAAAATTAATTTGTAATAATCAAAATATAAAGATTTTAAATATTTGAAAAAGCAAAACTTTGAAAAAAGAAACGCTTGTCTCTTTCAAAAAAAAAAACGTATTTTAAGAAACATTTTATTTTTCTTTTTTTCTATTTATGACTCTACTCAGACGCCCAAAACCATGAAGATGCCGATCTGGTAGTGCCGTCATCGTCATCGTTATCGTGCAAGTCGATTGTCTACCGGAGAAAATGAACCACCAGTGGCGTAGGATTGCCTATTTGTAATCAGTCCAATGGCGGATCTATCGTAAAATTAGTAAAATAATGTTTTAGAATGTAAAGAAGACTATTTAGATTTCAATGCAATTCATTTTGTTTACATAAAATATAAATTTATATATAAAATATATATATATATATATATATATATATATATATCAAAAAATGAACTTTTTATTTATAATATTATAAATGCAGACTTTAATTTATTTATATTTAAATAAGAAAAACAACAAGTAATTATCTAAAACAAAAAATTGTTTCAAAATTTACTTGTCAATTTAATTATATATATATATATATATATATATATATATATATAATTTTTTTTGTTATAATTTGATTTTTAATTTACAATTTTATTTCTTAAAAAAGAAGTGTTAAAGTGATGAGTATATGACATTCTATACGTATTGAAAACAGATTTCTTAACAAGCGACAATGAAGTTGTCTATAGATTGTAGCCAGAAATTAATTTCGATTGTTTTATTGAAGGGTAAGTAATATAACCCTTGTTCTCTTCAGATCGAAAACAAGAAAATATTCAGTCTTTTTTATTTTGCAAAATTAATCGGTAATATCGCGATTTTATTATAATGTGATGGATACATCTAATGTGCGACAAAGATACGAATACGGTACCTGCTTGTGTTTCTCGGTGATGGGCCGAAGAAAGCTCAGAATTTCGGTAATTACATACAATTGATGAATTTTTTAATCGATGAATCTGTTGATAAGTAATTGTCGTCACATCCTCTCTTGTGTTGCGACGTTACGTTTGCTTCCGCGCTACATTTTTAGGTAACTATCACTGTGATACATATAATACGATATATAAATGTGATAAATATATATTCGTTTAATATTATTAATATTTATATATATTTATAACAACTTCTTTAATAAATAAATAATAAAATAATCAAGCTTTATTAATATAATTAATATAAAACTTATACCCTTATCGGGTATCTACTAATTAATCAGATCTATCTCTCCAGATATGTGCAATTAACTCACCGGAAACGAGTGATGCTAATATTATGTCAGAGAAGAAAAAATATTCAGTAATTTCCGGTACGAAGAATTTCAAGAATACTTTCCCTGCACGACAAGATAAAAATTCGATTACTTTAACATCATCGAATTCGATTAATATCATAAAAGATTATATGAACGATGAATCTGTAATAATTCAGGATGAGCCCTTGTCAAGGATCGATTATTGCGGATTTCCCTATTATAGGTGCATTTTATTTATTAAATACAATATAAAGAATACGAAACTTACATGATAGAATGCGCATGTTCTTTAGTTTCTTTAGTTTCAAGAAATTGGAAATTTAAGTGATGTAAAAAATTTTAATTAAAGAAATATTGCTTTTAATTCTTAAAATTTTTATCAATTTTCTCTCTTCCTTATTTTTTCTCTTTCTATTATTTTATTTCGCTAACTTTTCGACAAATTTATTTAATTGAATAAGAAGAATTGAATAAGAAAGATTTATATTACAGAAGTAATAAAACTAACGGTTTTCAAGATGCCATCCTAGTTAAGGATGTAGGAGTATCCTGTAATCTTTTAAATAATGCGATCGACTCCGATATATCGATTTCAGAAGTTGAGAGTTATCTTGTTAGACAACTTAAACTCGAATACAACGAATTATCGAGCATCACAAGAAAGATAAATGGATATACCAAGGATATTTTAAACACCTTAGCGTCGCGATGCAGAAGAAAAGATCAAATTCTTCAGAAATTGGTAAAAAAATAGTGATTTAATTTTTAAGTAACTTTTTTAAATGTTTTTTTATATTAATATACATTCTTTTGTGTTTTTATATCAGCAACAGAGTTAATAATTACAAACAAAACTCGCCATTACAATTTTCTTCAAGAAGCTTTTATTACAGCATAAAACATCGAAGCATGTAATGACATCACAATATATAAACGAAACTGGAAGTCCCTATTTAAAATTTAGATTTTTCAATAATAATAATAATACGGAGAGAAAACAGCGAACATCGAAAACTGATATCAGTAAAAGTGTTGCTGAAAAAGAAATCATTAAAGAGAAGATGCACGGTAATATATATAATAAAGTTGTACATATACATATATTATAAATTAATTATCGCATTTATTAATAAATGAAAAAATATTATATACATGTACGAATAAGTAGTATATAAATAATAGTAATTACTATTTATTTAAAAATATATATATCAGATTCTTTCTTAATAAAAATTTAAAAATATTTCGATATATATTACTTCGCAGAAAATGGAAGGACAAGAAAACCACGCGTGGAATTTGGTAAAATTTTGGCAAAAGAATTTTGCAAACTCTCGCCGAAATATGACGACGTATTATTTCGTAATTATTTGATAACGAAAGGAAAAAATGTATTCGACAATACGTCGAAGGCGTCTTTACGTAAAACCAAAAATTTCACGCTGTATGATAAATTGTGCAAGAACCATAGCACTGACAAATCGCGCGAGTCCTTTTATGCAAGCAAGTGTAATCCTGCTCTGCTTACCAATTGGCAGGAAATATCTAGAAAGTCTCCGTTTAAATTTCCGATTAGTCGCGATGCATAATCAGTTACATTTAACTCGCAGTCAGAGAAAGTTGAATTCGAATTTAACAATTTAATTAAATTTGATTAATTGTTAGATTATATTTTTTTGTTAAATTATTATCTACGATATTTCCATTAATCTTATATAATTTCCTAATTTTCTGTACAAATATGATTAGAATATATAATCATTAATGAAATTTGAAAACATTTTTGAAATGGAATTTGATTTAATTTAATTATTTATAGATAAAAAGGGAGAAATAAAAATAAATACTTTCTTAAGAAAAAAAAGAGGAGTGCATTTTATTTTAATTATTGTTAAGATTAAATTTTAGAAATGGCGGGACGTCACAATAGCAAGTAATATCGCGCTTCGATATATCGAAGTGAGAGGGCCTCAAAACTCTGTTTCACTTGGCACTTCTAGGTACACTTCATATGTCAATGGACATTTATGTAAACAAATATTTTTCTGCAAAATTTTAAATTCAGAAACAGATGATACAAACATCTGTTTTATAACTATAATGGTACATTTTATTATAAAATGTATTATAGCATTTAATTAATTATAATAGCATTATAAAGTCATGAAATTATTTAATAAGAAACTCTGATAGGTTATATGATAAACAATACTGTTTATGCTCTACATAATTTATGTTTGTATTTCAAATTTTATTTAATTATTTTATCACCAAGATCGGAAATCACGACGTAAATATGATTTCGGACAGCTGCGAACAAAACAGGATTTGGAAAAATGTTAGAATAAACGACGAGGCTCATATGATTTGCTTCACGAAGAAGAATGAATCGTGGAAAGTTCTTTTAACGAATTTGAAAGAAATTTGGATGGAGACTCTGACAGATGAAATTATGTTTCACAAATTCCAGGTATTTGAATCAATAATTTTATAATTATATTATATATCACTGAACTTGAACATAACTTGTACACAACGTATATTAAAATCTCTATAATTTGCTATACGAATCGCATGGAAGAAAAATATAGCTTGACATTTAAGAAATTATTTTGTAGCTTTCTTAATAACAAATTTATTTTATATAATATACAGTGCTTCGATTTTTAGACCGTGAATCCTCTTTTAAATCTTGAGGCTGTTGATTGGAAGCAACTGGTAATAGATATGTTAAATGATATTCCTCAACATATACATACATATATTTTAGAACTTTCTACATATCGAATAGAGCTGCGAAAGGACCATGATTTTGTAAAATTGAGATTCTCATTAGATCTTCTCAAAGAAACACCACAACAGTTTTGGGAAAATGTGACTATGCCTCTTTGCTTGTCATCAATGAAACTGGTTCGCCAGTATGAGATTCTACTGGATTTAGTGAAACGAAAAGATGAGGAAATCACAGAATATAAAGCAGAAGGTGCAGAGTTAATTAGGAGTATGTATTTTTTGTATATCATTTTTTGTTATTTTATCAAACAATTCAAAATTCAAAATTAAATTTAATGAAGTTAAGCATTATTATTTATATCTCTTATAGAATATATTGCTACAAAACCATTCAGCGAAGAATTGTTTCACATTGATGCTACTGCACCAACTGCAACTGATTTTGTACAAGCTTTCCAATCTATGTTCCATTTTTATAATAAAATAAATTTGCCAACACCACATACAAAGATAGAATCTACAATATCTTTGAACAGCATAAGGTAGAATATAATATGGTATAGTATAATATGCTTTATAAAGTACACTACGTTTATGATATTTATATTTTATTTTAGTGATAATTCTCCAAAGATTGATGAAAATATTTTTCATGATTCTAAAGATAAATCTGTACACAAGCTAAATCAAGACAAGTTAGATGAACAAGTTCATTCAGATATCAAGGAATGTGAACAAGAAGCAGGTTCCTCCAAAACACAAGTTTTAAAAATAAGCAGCACATCTCACAGGATACATAAACTAAAAAAGAATAAAAAAACCTTGAACGATTTCATATCATAATAAAATATTATAGCTGCAGGTTATCAATTATTAGGATTCATGAATTTATAAATAATGCTATTGAAAAAAAAAATGTTAGAGATATATTTATATATAATTTTAATGTAAGTAACAAAAGTCATTAAAGAATGAAACTCATAAAAAAATAAGAAGTGAAACCAAAATGAATTATAAAATGTATTATAAAATTTTGTATATAGAATATATAAAATGAGTTTAAAAGAAATAATAACATATTTTATGTAATATTTATAATATAAATAATAACATATTTTATGTAATATTTAGTATATGTTGAATGAATAATATCCTTTGTACCCTAAATATATATATATATATATATATATATATATATTATTTATTTATTTATTTAATAATTCAATAGTTGATTAAAATTAAAAATAATAAAAAAAATAAAATGAAAAAAATTGGGCTCGTCCGGGATTTGAACCCGGGACCTCTCGCACCCTAAGCGAGAATCATACCCCTAGACCAACGAGCCACACTGGATATGTGATCATCCATACAAGGTATCGAATTTTGTTATAATAACATACATGTATACGCGTATTATAAGTGTTATCTATATTATTAACAGTGCGATAACACTCTCTCTATTTATGTGGGGCAACGTGCTCACATAACATGCAACATGGCGGGTTTCAGTCAGCAAGACTTCAACAGGAGCGCATTGACACTCGATAATGGACGGGTAATTATAAAAATCGATTCTAATTGCGTGCAATAACACTTGATTAGTGCGCACACATGATATGCGTCGATTGATATGAGTCTGCGCTTTTTGACTACACTCTCTTGCACTTTTTATTGTGTTGAGTATACTGATTGAACTTAAAAAAAAATTATGAAAAATGTGTAGAAAATATAAGAGTGATTCTTACTTTAATTTTTTCTTTTGTTGAATATGATTAATTTATTTCAATACATTTTTTCAATTTAAATTTAAAAAATATTAGCAATATCTTAATTCTTATCAAACATTAAAATTAATCAATAAAGTATGTATTTTTGTATTTTTTATTTCTTTGCAATATTATATTATATAAGGACTCGAACTTTTACTATATTAAAACTTTTAATAGATTTAAAAAATATTAATTAAGATTGTCAGAAGTTTAATTTTTGTTTACAATAATTTTTTTTATTTTTAAAATTCATTCTAAAGTTTGAAAGATTTTTCTACATTTGTTATTTTCTAAAAATATTTATATTTTTCCTTCTATATTTATATCTTTCCTTCTTTATATTTATTTTATTCTCATGCTTTCTCATGCTCTCGATAATTTAGGCTTGGTACACTGGACAAAGAACAGAAAAGATTCCCAGTGGATTGGTAGGAGTCGTCGGTCACAATTGTCTTGGACTGGATCTCTCCTACAACGAATTGACCACCGTTTCCGGCGTAAAGGATTTTGAGCAACTTCAAGAATTGATTCTGGACAATAATAAGCTCGATGATCTTAAAACGCTGCCGTGTATCCCGACTTTAACTACGTTGAGTATAAATAACAACAAGGTATACACTATTCGGAAAAGTAAATAAAAAAATAATAAAGTTCTTATATAAAAATACTGTGTTTGTAAGATCTAAAAAGTCTATTAAAATTATAATATTTGCTTATTCAAACTATATTCCTTTTCTTTAAAATTTTATTAATCATTTTTCATTATTAGAGACAATTTTGTTTTTATCTTTTTTCGTAAAACATTTCTAAGATTTCAAAAATATTTTAATATTTTCAGAAATATATTTTGAAGACTTCTAATATATGTGATATAAATTTTCAAAAAAATATTTTATTTCTGTAAGAAATGAAACAGAATTTAAGATATTACAGCAAAAAATAACAATAAAACCATAAATTTAAAAAATTTTTAAAGATATCAACCTTCTTTAATGTGCTTGTAAATTATCTATTTTATTTTTCTTCAAAATAAAACAGATATCTAAAAGATAAAGTAAAGGTTCCTAAAAGACATTTAATTTTTTCGTTTAAATGTCCTTTTAAATTTTTGAATCCTTTAAAACATTACACAGGATATATTTTCTTCTTAGATATCCAACATTGACAGAGCTCTCGAGCAAATACGAGAATGTTGTCCTAATATAGAGTACGTGAGCCTCCTGGGCAACCCTGGCTGTCCCGATCAGCTCACCAATCCGGTGTCCACCGACGAGGACGATTATGATCGTTACAGGCTTTATGCCATTCACATTTTACCTCCGAGTCTTCGTTTCCTGGACTCACGAAGAATCACTCAACAAGAGAGACTGAATGCTAAAGCTCGTGGCAAATACTCCAGGACAATCAAACTTGTTCCGGAATTAGTACGCAAGTTTGTACCTAGATCAACGTACGCTGGTAACGAGTTCGACGACATATATTTCAACATCCATTATACGCCCTTGCCGAACTCACAACGTACTCCTCAGGATCACAGAGGTACATACAGTCAAATCAAATCGTTCAATTGAAAACTGAATTGAAACTATAAACTCAAATATTATTTTGAAAAAACTATTTAAAAAGCATGTAAAATGCAACTCTAAGTTTTGATTTTTTAAAGATTGTTATTGAATTCTCTAAATTTATTACTTAAAATCTCTAAATTTTATTACTTAAATGAACTATATTAATAATAAATTTTACTTGGCAGGTGCGTACGGTAAGTGCAAGTATCGATACTCCGGCAAGAATTCAGAGGGCAATCGATTCATCTCGAATAACGATCTCTAATTGAAAAGAAATTGTCCAAATATATTTTTAAGCGTGGCCTTAAAATATCGAAGCGATGTTTCTAGTCAGATATGATTGATAACGAAATATTATCAATGTGAAATATCAATGTGAAATATCTCCCATAGATTTTGATGTTATTAAAGTTTATCATGCGATATATACGATTAGTATTACCGATTCTAATGATAAAAGTATATACAAGATTTATATCATGATAATAATTAAATTTCTATACAAATAACAATTTTAATATCAATTTGTGAAATTTACTTTAAGAAAATTATGATAATAATGTAAATAATAATATATATTTTATATCTTTTCACAAAAATAAAAGACTAAAAAATTTTCAATTAAAAACATAAAATATAAATAATATTAATTTTAAAAATGATTTGCTGAGAATAAAATTAAGACTATAAATAAAATTGCTTAAGTCATTGCACTATTTTTTATAAGTTCAAACGCAACATGAAAATCTATAATTTTTTATATTACAATAATTCATATATCTTCGCCCTTTTTTAATTAAATTTCATGATTATTTACTCGCACTTTTTTCTCGAATAATAGTATACCTAACTTATGCTTACTCGCAATTAATAAATCACGCGAAGCATACGAGTAAACGTATAAAATTTTTATTATCATATACACACCGACGAACGACATATAAATAAATGTGTGATTCTCTAAGTTTTAACATTACATTTTGTAATATTAAGTACTTTAACATATCGTAGAGTAACATGAGGATTTTATCGAGATAGAAAACGTAACGGGTTATCATAATAAATTCTTCGAGTTTCTATTGCTATTGGTCCGTAAACATGCTCGACATACAATTATCACGACAATACTAAATTCAGTATTTCGAGAATATCGAAATCTTATATGTACGTATATATACCTATATATTATCCTATATTATTATTTACCTATATAGAATTTATGTTAGTTTTAAATCTGCCACGCAAATATTGATCCTGCAAAAAATAGCTAAATTAAAAATTTAATTTACTTACATTATAAGTTCCTTATATTTCCTCTATCGGAGTATTCGTTTTTTATAATTCCTCAAATCCTATCTTTGTCACATTTTTTTCAATTATTTTAATTAACTTCACAAGAGATAAGTTAAATAAATCGTTTTCTCCTCTTTATCAAAAAAGTCATATTTTTAAATTAAATTCCTTACTTTAAATATATCTTATTTAACAATATAATTTGCCAAAAATTGACAGATATAATTAATATATCCAAAAATTAAATTCTTTTTATTCATCTATTTTTTTGCAGGAAGCTTACACACATCACTTGAATCCTTATGTAATGTTAAAGGCAGTTATAATTTCCTTTTGTTAAAACCCTGTATTTAGGAAGAGAGAGTCTTATATAGCTAACTATACGCAACAACTTACATTCACAAATATAATCGAAGGTATAATAAATCAATTAAGTACGAATATGTATCAGTTCGATCCTTCGATTTATGCTGGAACACTCGAGAGTCGTCGACCCGTATCTATAGCATGATCTAACAACGCACTTAACGCTAAATGTGAGCGAAATTACCGAATGTTGTTTGTTCGAATCACAGAACATTTAACGCTAAATACATGCAAAATGATGCGAAGAAAAAAACGGATCGTTGAACGCATTTAACGTAATCGTACATCACGAATACGAGCTTACGATCATTATTGAAATTACCGGAAGAAAACTTCATTTTTAATGTACATATACATATATGAATGGCGAGTTTTCGGTGTATACGTATATAAATATATATCTATACGAAAATGTGTTCGCATTCAAATTGTGAAAAGGGGGAAGCGGTCATATTTAAATCTCTTAAATACACCGTTCCTTTGCTTGCTCGCTTCAGAGACTCGCTCACTTCTATTGTACATATTGCTGGAAGCATCTTTCTTTTTAAGAAAGGAAAGTGTCCACAAAATTCAAACGTTCTAAGCGCCGAACTCTTTACTCGTAAGTTTCGAGTATAATTTACTCGACAAGATCAGAAACAAATGGACGAAGGAAATATATCTTACAAAGTACTTCAATTCTCTATTACATATATGAATTATCGTCTCTTTGTCGCACAAATAATTATCTTTCAGTGAAAGACGAATATTTTTTATAAGAATCCACCATTTGTCTAAATTCTTATTTAATGATAAATACTAGTTTCGATGATAAAATTATCGTTCCGATTGCAATCGAGTTTTTCTAAGAGATTTAGAAAATAGTTTTTTAATATTCGCATGCATGGAAATTAACAAATTAATAATTATCAATGATAGATTATTGATAAATTATCAATATCTACGTGTGTCGTATTATTATATATTCTCAATGCGACAAGATTAAAAGGATTCAAAATATGCCTCAAGGTTGATCTGTGACCTGCGTGGAATGTCCTTTCAGAAAATCTAAATTTTAACGATAATCACGAACTACTCAAGTTTCGATTATACATTATTAATTATTTTTTACGAATCTAGAAAAAAATGATTTTTCTTATTAGACTGTGCGCATCAAGAATCCTTCATACAATATTTCAATCAAATTCTAAAATTGATGATCTTAAAATAGAACGGTTCCTTCGTTCATTTGCTTTTTGCAATTTTTCATATAAATTTACATAACATAATATATTACAATTTTTTTTTATTTTCGTAGACTAATAATGTGCATCTGTAAGAACTAAAAATTTTATTGAATTATTTTTGTGCATCAGATTATTTTTCAAATATCTCTTTTTTATAACATAGAATTTCGCTAAACTTGAAAATACTTCGTGATTCAACACGGTTTGGAACTCAGTTTGGAAGTTTTCGGCGAGATTTTATTCGCCATTTTTAATTTGTTTATTCGCAAATAGAGAAGAAGTTATATGTCCGTAGATGCTGATAATTATTCTGATTGTTTATACGGACTCATTCTTGCTCTTAATTCCCATTTCAGGTTTTATAAGAACCTAAGAATATTTTTTCAAGAATATCATCAAGAATGTCGATGATTGTATTGCACAAAATTTTATTACTTGGATATTTTTATCTAAGATCCTTTGTAATAATTGCAATCGAAAATAATAAAGAAAAATATATAACGTGAAGCAACTTCATAATAGAAAAGTAAAAGTAAAGTAAAATACAACAAAGTAAAGTAAAATATATCTCGCTATAATTTTTATAATAACTTTAAAGGAAACTGAAAATGTTATGAATATAAAATAAACGTATTTTTTTAAAGACTCAATAAGAAGCCAAGTATATAAGTTGTACTCAATAATACATAACTTCAATTTGAAAAATATATAAATATTAAAGAAATTAATCGCAGCATGAATTCGCCACAACTTTTCATGTTTGGCACGTCAATTAATGTTAATGTAGTTGTTACGAATTCCGGCTTTGTAAAAGAATATATAGTGAAAGATACACAAGCAAGAATAACAGAAAAGTTTAATGTATAGCCAATTCTTTTATCATTTTTATCGTTAAATAAATCAAGAGGAAAAATGATTAATAAAATTAATTGAATTCTCCCATTTTTTCATCAAGAAATAATATTTTTTTAGAATAGTCAAAGTGTGGCAATAAAATAAAAACAAAAGAGATATCAATGAAAAGAAGCAATTATCTTGTGTGATCTCATTAGGAATTATATGTATATAAGAGACATTTTATGAAATGAAACTCCTATATAGAAAATTCGAAAATATGATTCATATAGAAATTAATAGTAAAGCATAACGATAAGAAAAAACAGAAAAGCCAAAAAAATTCACACGATTATTCCACTAATATAAAAGCCCTCAATGCATTGAATTGATGATCCTCGCAGCGGATCGGAAGTTCGCAGGAAATTTTCGTCTATAGGTTCATTCATAGAAATCAGACGAGTTTACGTTGCTTCCGAAGGCACTGATTTTTCATTATTATTCACGATTATTTATTTAGATTATTACGCTCGTAAGTGTGATGCCTTTAGAGCTATATACATATAATCAACTTGGACTAAAATAGCATTTCCGGACCTCGGTTTCTCTCTCGGAAATGACAATCGAAGAGCGAATCTTTATTGCGATGTTGCTTTTAAGAGCCACTACTCTTCCCGTGATTGTGCAAATTTGGCCTCAACGTCACTGCACCCTCGACCCAGAAATTCGGCCTCTCGAGCATGTTCTGCCATAGGGATAATTCGCGACCGGTCGCATCCATCCAATCCACCAGTTTCCCATAATGCTTTCCTGAAACGAAACTCCGTGTTTGTATTATCGTCAAAAAAACGCGAAAAGAGATTTTATAATTAAATTAATTAATATATTATTTTGTTAATTAATACATTAATTTGTTTATAATCAAACCATATGATTGAGATTTTTGGGGGGAAATCTATTATTTACTATATCTGTCGAGATAAATTTAATTTAATTGAAAAGAAGAATCTAATTATGACATCTACATATTTGTATGTAATTTCTTTATATTATTTGTATGTGCTTGGCTTTTTTTATTAATCATACCGGTGCCGAGATTAAATCGAACTCCTCCGAGGAATTCGTTGCTGGCGATTCGATCGTGGTCCCAGACTGTCAGTTCTAATCCGCGTTCTGCCAATTCTTGCAAACTGACATCCTTGTAGATAAATGTATGTCCCCAAACCGGTGAACCAACAGATCTACGAACGACACCGGTCTTCTGCTTACCGGATCGGCCTTTGTCGGGAAGCAAATAGCTGAAAAAAAATATTTATAGAGACTGCAAGAGATTTTTCTAAAAGAATTAAAAACGAATTATTAAAAATATTGTTTTTGTGATATCCAGATAAAAAAGAGTAAAAGACGAAAAATTATTACAAGTTACTGTCTATAAATAGTTATATTTAAAAATTTGACTAAATTTTACACATTGTACTTGTCATAGAGAATAACTTACAACAGTTATTTTTTGCTTATCATTCTTTCATGCTATAAATACTATAAATTCGCAATATTATATTTATTATATTAATAATATAATATAACATATAATATAATGTAATATAACATAATATAATATGATATAATATAACATAATGTAATATGTTGATAATATTCAAAGTATAATATTCAAAATAAGGAGAAGCAAGAGGGAAAAGTACCTTTTGCAAAAGGGATCGCAGGTGCCCGAGTTCTTGCCACGTGTTTGCAGATTTCTGGCTTCCTTGACAAGCACGTGGAGGGCGCCGCGGCTCCAATTTTTTTTCGTCTTGGAACTTCCGCCACGTTCTGTCCCGCTTTCCCGATCGCGTTCCTGCTGCGTCGGATCCGGGGGGACGAATTTCAGCCCAACGATTACCTCGCCCTTATATGCAACAGGATCGTCGAACGGCTCCGTCTGCGAGCCAATAATTATTTGCAATCATTAATTCTTTAGCCCTCAAAAATTTTAGAATTTCAGTTTTTTACGTTAAGATTTTTCTTAAATAAATATTGAAAAATACAGAATATATGAAAAATTTTTATAAATTATGTGTATATTTTCTTTCCTTATATATATTTTTTTATATTTTATATTATATATATTTTTTTCTTATATTATATATTCATTAATAATTTGTATTATTATCTTCTAATTCTTATATTTACATATTATCAAAATTATTATCAAAATTATGAATTCCGCGATATTTTGTAAAACTCTTTAATTTTTTAAAGGGAAGGAAGAATATCAGAATTAATTATATTTAATCCTGATTTAGAAAAATAATAATTTGATTCGATATTATACTTAAAATATTAAAAAATATAAATACATATTAAAACATATACTTATATCTAGTCATGTATTCGAATATATTTTGCATTCTCATGCGCGTGTAAGAACATAACATAAGAAAGCATTGTAATAAAAAGCTCCGAAGCAGCTTCGACGGAAAGAAAGAAAAGACTAACGATCTCTTAAACGATTTGCTAAATGCACAATGATGCAATCTATTGAATGCACACTGACGTCCAAGAGACTTACTTCATTCGGAGGCGATCGACGACTCTAACTTTCGAAATTTCAAGAAGAATGATTCTTTCGTCGATGAAAAATTGACTATATGTATATCACGCGATTAAATAATCAGCAGACAAACTCACCCTTTCTTGAAGGGATACCAATGCGGCGCCGGATCGTCGAATATCTTGTTCTCCAGGGGCATTCGCACTTCGCCGAGGAAATCGTTGCGACCGAACATATCCGAGTGCCAGACCGTCAGCCATAGCGTTCTCGTCTCCAGGCCGCTCAGGCTCATATGGAACTAAAATCGCGCGATGACGAACCCACCGAAATTGTCATGCAAACAATACAATCAACATCAAAAGGATCAACTTACCTTTAACGTCTCGTTGAATTCCGGATTCAACGTATGCTTCTTCACCTTTGTCTTTCTCTTGCCACTCTTCGATTTGTCTGGTAAAAGATATACCTTAACGTATCTAGAAGAAAGATTGTAAAAAGTTAAATACTGTATTTTCCGTCATATTTATTTTACAAAAAAAAAAGAGCATTTCCCGAAGAAGAATAAAGAGGATTATAACTAATTTGTATGGTAAATATACACACAAGATTATAAATTTTTATTTTTTAGTTTTATAAGAAAGCATTTAATTCAATAATATTTAAATTAAATTAAATAAAATTGAAATAGAAAAATAGAATTAAAATAGAAAAATCGACAAATTAAATAAAATCACTTACGGATCCGATCGTTTGCGTTTCACATCGACAGGCGCGAGGTTCTTGCACTTGGTCACGTGTACTTCGAACGTCAGATTCTTATAATCGTATTGCAAGGCGAACTCCACTTCGCCGGTGACGACCACGGATCGGCAGCAACGTCCCTCCCCCGCACCACTGTATACCGACGCCATCGAGTCCGAGCGTGCCTGGAATTGTCAAAAGTTAAAATTGCGAAAATTTGAAAACGATCAACTCTCCGAGCGCAAGACGAGAACCGTTCATTTTTCATTCTGAACGAGATTCAACACCGCAATTTGTTCCGCCTTAAATTGCCGTAATAGACGCAATTTCTCTCGGAAAGTTGGGAATGGCAAGTGCAATGTATTTATTTCAACGTTGCACAACACTCAAGACAAGACAATATTTGTAAAAATTATATTATATTGATATTATATTGATATTAAAAATTTTCAAACTTAATAATCAAAAATAATGTATTTAACATAATATTTATAGTATAATTTAAAATTTATAGTATAATTTAAATAATTATTACTATTTATGTGCAGATGTAGAGAAATGCGATTTGTACTATACTATACCTGTACTATAAGCTTTGTGTAACTAAATGATTATGTTAAATTTTATATTGTTTATTTTATTTATTCTATTAATTTTCTAAATTTGTTAATATAAATATTTTTATTTATTAAATAAATATTTTTAAGTACATAATATAATGATTTTTTTCTTATCTAGTTTACATATTTTAGCTTCTTTTAAAAATCAATAATCTTGATAAAATATTAATCTTGATAAATCTTGATCTTGTCTCGATAATTAATTAAAAATCTTGTCTTGCTCTTGTCTCGAATTTCGACAAGACAAGACAGTATTAAGACTAGTCTTGATAACTCATGCAATTGTAAGTATATTTTAGCAAGATGTAACTGTAACTATCTCCAACATCTCTTAAATAAATTTTACACTTACTCCAAGACTCGACAGAGACGAGCGAGTAGCGAGATGGCCCGGATCCATGTCGTCCATATCCATTACTGTATGACTAGAGCCTGCTCGTGATCCTGCTCCAATAATCGGCGTGCTGCATGCCTCTGACAAACTGCTGCCATCGTCTGTGACATGACGAGGTAAAAGACTCGATTATTCAAATTGATTCAGAGTTCAATGTTCAATATTAAGAGACATTAAAAACAAAAATGACGAATTTTCAAGAGACAGAATTTCCATGAAAACTTGCAAGAAAATTGATTGTTTAAATAAACCCAAGTTTATGAAGATCTTGCAAAATTCCTAAATATTAAAAAATATTTTGGAATTCTCTCAATTATTATTTAATAAATGTATGAGTCATGTTTGTAAAATTTCTCCCTAACTGAATATCTTTATGCAATATAATTATACACATTTTCATTTTACAATATATAATAAGAATAATAATCGCGATTAATGATTTCATTTCTGGTTCACAATTTTAATTTTTACGATTATTTTGGAGTAATAATTTTTAATGGTGAATTTTAATTTGAAAGATTAACATTTTAATGTCTTAAGTTTTTAATTCTTTTTTTAATGATTCATGATTAACCTTCTTTTTACAAACTTTTTACAAACTTTTTAATTATTACTTAAATTGTCTATCGACTAACTTATTATTAATTGTGGAATATTTATCGCTCTTTGCTGCTTGTATCGTTTCGAACACTTGGTGAAGAGGCTCGCAGGATGTCCTATTTCCGAATCGCTTTCCGATACATTCTTGTCGTCGTTAAATGATGATGATTTCTTCTCCTTCCTCGGAAGCATCGGCAAACTGTCGATCATGCGTCTCATTCCACTGCTCTTGGAATCCGAGATATCAGCCGAGGAGTCGTTCTTGTCGTTCATCAAAAAAGCATCATCCTCGGTGACATCCCGTGTCTCATTTTTTGATTCTTCATGATCCTCATCCGCCAAAAGAATTTCCTCCATCACGAATTCAACACCGTTTCCTGATTTCGCGGAATTGTTCGACGGAATCTGCGATTCGACCGTGGACTTCGAGATCTTTTCTTCGTTCGATCCTGAGGTTGAAGCTGTCTTTTGTCCCATGTAGCAGCAACCGCAACAGCATGTCAGCCAATTCGAAACGAAACGTTGTGCGATATTTCCGGTGGTCCAAGAGCCTGGGATAGGAGACTCCTTGAAAGTCGAATAACGACCATTCTTCGTCATTTTATTAAAATTAATTCTTGATTTTTCGGATTTTTTTAGCTAATTAATTAGTCGTTTTTCGCTAATTTCGAAGAGAATTTATACACTTTAGTGATGTACCTTTTTAGTCATATCTCACTTTAATATATTTAATACTTTCTTTTTACTCTGGGTTAAGGAAATATTATCTTCGAAGCTTCAAATCTTCGAAAATAATAATTCTTAATAATTTGATATTTTATAATGATTAACGAGAGACACAATTCGAGAAAGACACACCACGAAACAAAGTACTCGCTACACTGACTCTGAATTCTTTCATTTGACTATTCTTGGGCTGAACGGAACAGGGTAACGATAATACTGATTTTTGCTTCCTGCCTTCTGGGGACAAATAATGCATTAACAGCCTCTATGCTCAAGGTCCAGATCTGGCGAGTTTTGATAACGGGTGATACGATAATTCTTTTATATACATGTGCGAAAAGGTTTTATTTCAATGACGATACATTTTTCCAATTCTTTTCGAGCATGCAAAATATGAGTTCAAAATGTTTAAATGAAGTTGAATCACAAATTTTCCTTTTTTTATACATATTTTTTTTAACATTCTATCGTTATTATTCAATAGCAATTTCGCAATATTTATATGTTTATCTTAATTTATCTTGCGTTTATACAAGACGATGTGCGTATATTTCAATTCACACAAATTTGCGAGAAAAAAAAATGTAAAAGTATAAACATATCTAAATATTGATACCGTCCAAACACACGAATGCGTTACGAAAACAATGACGTATACATATGTAGATATCACTCGAGACAATCATCATTGTACATCGCGCTGAATAACGTTCAAGTAATGAGTAATTAAACGTTAGATAACGCCATTCAGTGATAACCATTGTCTTCGTGATTGCACCCCAATCGCGATAACATTTTCGCCACAATAGAGTCGGATACGCGAATCGCTTCGCAACTTTTTAAAATGAGTTTAGATGAATATGTGTCAAGGTGAATGTATCGACGTATCTCCGTGCATCGCATGAGAAAAATAACTTTCATGAGCAGCTGATGCGCTGTCTATCAACTGCAATGCATTCGTCAAAAATCAGACAAAAAGTTTATTGCAATATGACTAGATCGTACAAAACAACATTCGTAAAAATATTGTATTGAGATATTGAACAATTTTTAAATCTTGTCTTGGTCTTCAGTGAATTTTTGTAGCAAAAATTTTGTCTTAAATTGTCTTATCTCAATTTTATTGACAATTTTTATTTAATACTGAACAACTATTTAAAATAACATTTCGCATATATGTTACTCCAATTAAACCATATGCGTGTTTGCACGTGATCATGCTGTATCCGGGACATAGTACTACGCTCCGAGAGTGTAGGCGAAAGTTGTGCCATGTCTCGGCTGACACGATAACTTTGTTCGACTGACTAGACGAACAAATTATCCATTGGTCAATAAATATAATTACACAGGAGATCTCAGAAAGGATTAGGCATTTATAATTAATATAGTGATTAAATTTCCATCTTTCGCTTTCTTTTCTATTTTTTTTACTCTAATCGATAAGACACTAATCATAACAAACGCTTTTACGTAAATCTCTCTCTTGGAAAAAAAATATTGCACCTTTATATATTATTTATATATTCGGTATACAACAGTCACTTCCGTTTTACTTGCGTTACCCTTACTTGCGTTTTACCCTTTTACACGACGAGTCTCACGCCCGTGTACCTTTCCTTTAGAAAACGCTATTGCGTATCTGTGAGTAATTAAAATACTCACTACCGGAATTATTCTCTAGAACCTCGTGCAAGGGAATGTACGCAGAACGGTATATTTCACCGCATACCTAATAGATCTCGCATATTCTCAATTATCGAATTACTCTATCGAAGCGTGGATATGTAGCATGAAAAGAACCGTGTAATTTTCAACATGTTTCTACATAACATAGTATCATGTCTCGCGCAAATTTTATTGTCTAAAACAACATATTCCTAATAAAAATGCTTAGGTTTTTTAGAGAGTAATTATTTTTTCAAATATTTTCTCTTTTTTATTTTCTTAATTTTTTAAATAAAAATAAATATTAAATAAAAATTAAATAAATGTAAAAATCCTTTTATTTAAAATCGTGTAGAAGAAAATTGTTAGTAAACTTTTATGGAGAAACTATTATTTCTCAAAATTTATTTTATTATTTCTCAAAAATTAATCGCATATTACATTTTTATCCAATATCATTTTTTTATGTACGATGTTTCATTAATCGCTCAATCCTAACTGTAGCAATCGGAAAGATGTGTAACGAGTAGGAGCGTAACATCGTGTTTCATGGTTGTCAGCAAAGAACCGTTTCAGCAATTGTGCAAAAAGCTTGACACGCATTCCAAAACTCGCGACATCGGTTCAACGACATTCTTACATTCTTAATGCCAACGTCCTTTTCATAATTCGTTCATTTTCTAAAAGAAAGAGATAATGTCTCTTGATTTTTTCAAGAATTTCTTTCATGCTTTTCAATAGCGCAGAAATAAAACTCTCCAAAAACATGAAAGGACAGAAAACTTTCGAAAGGCTTGTTATTTTTTCTTTTATTAAAATATGTATTTAAAAAACTATTTCTTCTTATTGTTAAAATATATATATATATATCGATTCTCTCTCAGACATTATCTTTCTTTCCTTCTTTCTTTCTCTTCATATGATGTTTCGAGTAAGTACAATAAATTCGTAAATTTTTTTCTAGAATGCATCTTTTATCATCGTCATTTACTTCATATTGATCAGATTTACTTTAAAACATTAATTTTAACAAAATGAAACAAGAGTACTTTTTTGAAGAAAGATGTGAAGAAAACATGCGTATTTAAAAATAAAAGAAATCTTCTAATTTTAAAATTTTGTAAATTGAAAGGTGATTGGGTTCTCTGATGTAATATCAAGAAATTTATCACGTATTTTAAAAACCCTTACTTAAAATAATTATTACAAATTATTAAAATCTACGGAGTGGTATAAAAGTTATTTAAAAAAATGCTTCTCAAATGTTATCTTTAAAAACAAATATCTCGGTAAAGATGCGTTGTACAAAAAATTTTATAGGAACTTATAGGGTTATTTTTACTTGTTTGATACATGCCTACGATAGAGTGCCTATCTTTACTGAAACATCCTGTATAGTTGTTGGTTATAAAGAATTTTCAAAGAAAACAATATAACTGGCATTGCTGACGGCGCAAAGCGATGATTGAGAAATGCATTAGTCTTTATCCGCCAGAAAAATCGATGTAAAAGCAATAACGTAACGATGTTCGCCGGTGAACATAAACTCGTATAGAGGCTATGAACGTAAACCTGTCGCCGGCCGATCTCTAACGAGCAAAAAAGGATGAGTGAATGCGTGGCGAACGAATATGGAGTTTTTCGCGACTCGGAAGTTGCAAACGTGCAGTGCGTGTAATGCAACCAATGTACTGTAAAACGCATACGGTATTATTGCGATACCGTATCGACGTAAATACAAAAATGTCTCATAAATTTCAAGAATTTTCCTTTGGAAAGTTATAATAAAAGATATCTTAATATCAAGTTATTTTAGATATTAGATATCGAATTTCAAATAATGGAATTTTCAAATAATCTTCATGAATTTAAAAAAATTAAAATATATGTTTAATACAAAATAAATCTTATATTTATATTTTAAATTTGCGTATCATTTATAAAAAGATTTAAAATAATGCTCTGATATTCCTGATTTAATTGGAGTGCATTTTTACCGTGAATTTAGATTCACGAAGACTTTACGCGAATAAGTATTGAATTATTCAAAGAAGAGATTAGAAGACATAATAAAAGAAGTAATAAAAAATGAAAAGAAAGAATCCTTCATTTATGTAAATTCCATTTTGTATAGAGATATTAAATATTTGCATATAAAGAGAATAATCATTCTATAATTGGTACAACTCGGAGAATTTATCCCTCGAACCATAAATTAGAGAATGCTTCGTCTCATTATCGATCTGCGTCAGCACAACTGAAAATGGGAGTGGCAAGGACCTTAATTTCATTAGGTGTTACCCGTAAAAGTTGAATTTCATCGGCAAATGAAGATTAATCTAATGCTATTAAAATAAATAAATAATCGACGCTAAGTTTGGCGATTACTATCATAGAGGAAAAATATTTTGTCGTATAATATTAATTATTCTACTTTCAAATTGAATTATATAATATTTTAAATAAAATGTTGATATATAATAATATTATATATATTAACATAATATTATTATATATTAACATTCTATTTAAAATATTATATATATTACACATATATATATATATATATATAAAATACAAAAATAATTAATATTTTAATAAAATAATTAATATAAAAATACTCTTCCTTTTCATATTTTCAAATCTCTCTCTTTTACTTCTTTCTCATGTTACGTCTCTAATACCGTAACTGTGAGAAAAGTTCGTAACGCTATACATATATACATTATAATTATATTAAAAAAAACATAAATATTAATACATAAAGTATAAATTATGTAAAAGTTAAACATAAAAGTTATTTCAATTAACGTAAGTAATTTTAGCTTTAAATATGCAAATTGATAGAACACAAATGTTAAGAATAGATTCTGTTATAAGCACGTACTTACTTTTATTTGCAAGAAATATTAAAAGCAAATAACGTTTGTCTTTCGAGTTTTCTAAATTTGTAAATTCTCTCTTTAACCGCTGTCTTTTAACTGTCTTTTTAACAACTTGTTATCGCGAGAAAAGAAAAGAAACACAAGTTAAATTATTATCAATATTTATTCTCCCAAGTGGATTAGGTCAATGCTCGCAAACGTTGTGATGTATTCCATCGATCGATAAACCGATAAAATATAGTGGAAAAGTATACATGAAAACATAAGAACAATGTTGTCCCAATTGATATTCAATTGATAGATATAATTGATGCATGCAAATCTTTTAAAAATAAAAAATGCGTTGTTTTATTGGTGTTATTAAATAATATAACAATATACTTCTGTGTATATAATATATTAACATAAATACTTTAAATTTTTATTTGTAATTGATTTGTTATTAAGATCTTTTAGAAATAGTACGATTAAGTAATACAATTTTCTTATTTAAATTAATTTTTAATTCAATCTACATGATTGAAGATAAACAATCTCATTTATTTTATTTATTTTTATTTATTTTAATCATATCACGGATAATTTAAACATTTTTCAAATAATTTTAAATGACTTTTTTATATTTTAAATAAGAGAATTTGTATTTAGAAGAAAAATATATATTTATAAAAAAAACAAATATTAAGTTTTTTAAAATTGTAATATTAGAATATTAAAACGTTATAAAATTATAAAAGATGTATAATATTATATTAATCCATTATTATCATATTAAAATTATACAATCATTAATTATTAAATAAATTATATTATTATTAATTGTCGTTAAAATTAGTTATCATTTATTACTATTATTATTATCATTAAAAATAATTATTATTAATATGTATCATTAAGAAAAAAATAAAAAAAACAAAATATATACATATATTTATTATCTTATATTAAAATTTAATATAAAATAAGCAATTTCCTATACGGCTATATGCATATTCAAAGACATCCATAATACATCCTGGAAACATTTTTGAGACGATAGAACGTCTTCGAGATGTCCTCTGAATATTTTTTGGATACACATACTATCTGAATTATTTTATAAAAAGTTATTTTATAAAATTATTATCGTTATATTCATATATTTTTATATAATTTATAAAATAATTAAAATTAATTACATGTACATAATAAATGGCACGCGCGTTTTGTAGCGTTCTAGCAAAAATGAAAAAAGAAAGCTGAAGAAAAAAGTGGAATGCAAGGGAACGCATCAATTTACAATGCTGTTGCGTGCAACGCGAATGTTGCACTTACGACGTTGTGACGCGAGAACGGTTCGACATTACGCGCACGTGGAGTGCGTACGGAGGAGCGGTCGGCGGTGCGTGACATTTATCGATTGTACGTACATATGTACACCGAAGCGACGGCGAGTTCGCCAAGGGATGCCGGAGAAAAGAAGGGAAACCTCGTAATAAAGCAGTTGCACTTGTCACACCCGAGCGAGCATGTGGTATTATCAATGCGCGCGTTCTACTTGTCACGCATAAAAAAAATGTGCACATTGCAGAAACGTGCGGCGCGCGAATTTTCTTTTTTTTCCTTTGGTCGCTTCTTACGAGAAAGGAAGTCGGGGAGGATGTTTCTGTAGTTGAAAGAAGCGGAAAAACATTAATCTAAGAAATTTGTCCATTGATTTTTTCTCCCCTTTGTTTTCCCTTTTAATCTCGATAATTATAGATGCGCATTTTATGAAAACAAATTTAATAAATTATGGATAAAGTAGAGAGATAAATTCAATCAAGTTCAAATTTGCACGAGAAGTAATATTGATCTTAATTATTATTAGTTTATTATTATCATATTAACGTAATTTATATTTAATAAAATTTTATTGAATAAAATTTTATATTTATATTTATGTGTGTATGCATAAAATTTAAAAGCTATTTTTTTATTAGAATATAAATTTATTAGATTATATTATTTTCGAATAAATTTTTCGAAATATTCCTGTTTTTAAAAGTGTTGTTTCAGCTTACAATTTGTAGAATTTCAAAAGAGAGAGAGAGAGAGAGAGAGAGAGAGAGAGAGAGAGAGAGAGAGAGAGAGAGAAAGAGACAGATAAAAATTGACATAGATATTTTAAAATACTTTAGAATTTATTCTATATTTTCATTTTTATCTGTTTTTAAAGTTAAAATTCTCCTTTGTAAAAATTTTTCCACAAGTCATATATCGATCCTGTAATTCATATTTCCAATACAACTTTTTTTCCAACATATAAAAATTGCTTCCTATGTATTCTTATATATTTTTTTATATATATATTTAGATCCATTATTGACGGAAGGGTAAAAAGCATTCTCTTGGAAAGGTTGCATGTCACGACCGTGTTTTATAATCATTAGCTAGAAGAATAGATATTAACTAGGAAAATACTCCTCGATAAATTCGTAAAATGAAACCTTACAGCGCGAGATAATACAATGAATATAATTTTGATGTAACCGTAATTGAATTTTAATTCGTCTTAAAAGAAAGGAGAAAAGGCAAATGTAACGAAAACATTAAAGTTAACTCAGACATATTATTACACCAAATTTCACGCGATGAGTAGCACGTTTTCGTAACAACTGTCCTGCTTTTCGCAATGTTTTACGATCTTCAGAGAAGACAAAGGAATTTCCTACTATTTGCGTTGCTTTTTTTGCAGGAAAAAAAATTACGCCTCGCACACATACACTGTGTATACAATGCATACAGGGTGTCTCACAATCGAATCAGTCAGATTCTTCAAATGATAGGCAATTCCTTCTAAGCCATAATCGGAAAGACTTAATTGGACATGATGCGGCAATTACAGATACATAATTAATGGGGAATACTTAAAGCACATTACAGAGAACATTAGTTTACTAAATTACTTATCAAATCTTAATCAAAGTTATCTTCTACGATAAACATCGGATATCTAACTTACAATTAAAGGTGAGTTTAAGGGGAAAAAACATGATTTAAGTGATGAAGAGATAAAGAATGACTAAAATAATGACTAAAATCATAGAAGCAGTTAGCGTTTTGAGTTTCGCCGCAAACTTTCCTCGCCGTCACTTACGAAGACTACTAAAAAATGGTTTCTCCCGCCTTCATTACGACGATGCACAGCATAATTTCATATTTATACTTAATCATTTGCATGGTGTGCGTGACGATGCCTACCTGCCTAATTTATCATACGGGAATCACATATACCACCGACCGAATTACCTTTCATTCATGCGCTTTCTCCCGTCACTCAAGATTTCCTCTCAGATTTAAGATATAGTCAAATTTAAGATATTCCTTTTTTCTCGCTGCTCCCATATTTATGTTATATAGAAAAAAATAACACGAAAAATATAAATGCTAAAGTAATAATTAGCTCCAATTTGTTATCGGTAATTAACTTGACAGTTTATCTGATTATTAGATTGATTTATAAATTAATTTAGATTTTTTTTGCACATTATATATAATTATATATAATTAAAAATACTCAATTAATTTTTAAATATAGATAAAAATTTTTTTAAATGACAATAAATTAGAAATATATTTATAATAAAATAAAGAATAATAATAAAAATATATATTTATGCATATATATTGTGTGATGAAGAAAATAAATATAAAACATGTTATCTAATCGTGTTTAATTTGTTTCGCAAAATTCCTCAAGAATAAACATATTTCTGAATTGATTTTGATTTTATCAGACCAAATTAAATGTCAATTATATTCACTCGTATCAATCTTATGATCCTATCATTTAACAAGGTTGCTACAGCATACTCGACTATATCAAGGCTACATCAAAAGTCGCACACTTTCTCTCTGTCATTGTGATTTACAGATTCTCCATCGACTTTGTCTTATAAATTTAATATGAGAAAGTCTATGAGAACTTTGAAAAATACAGGAGTGATTTAAAATTCTGAGATCTCTGAGTAAAAATTAAAATATAAAAATCTAAATGTGTGTCATATAAACAACAATATTGCACCTCCTCATTCATCTTTGTTAAACTCCAATGGAGATCTCGCAAGAAAGACACAATAATGAACAATATGATCTAAAGATTTAATAGAAAATACATATTTGAAACTCCTCGAAGGAGATCCTCGCACAACTAGGTATCTAAAAAAGAAGCGACTTACCCGACGTAAGCGACATCGTCTGCTGCCTCCTCGACCGCGAGTTGTCTCGTTTGCCGGAGGCCGATTGCGAGCCGGAGACCTGAAGACCTGGTGCGCTGACGGCCCGTTTGGGTCCACTGCCGATCGCGCTGGGCCCGACGTTGCTGTTCCTGGCGAAGCCAGGAGGCCGATAACGGGCGGATTTGACGCCGCTGTGCTGCGGCAAAAAGTGGTAGACGCTGTGCGCCTTGTGCATCGGCGACGAGGACGACGATGCCGTCGTCGACGACATCGTCGTCGGCGTCATCGTCAGACCGGTCGGCGGACCCGATCCAGCTGGGAGTCGTGGCAGGGAATTAGTGGCTGCGCTGATGGCAGATTGCATGCCACGTGGAAGAGTCGTTGCTCGCGATTCTCCGCTGTATTCCAATTCATCCTCGGTGTCCTCGTCGCCGGCTGATGCACCTGCGATGATTAACAATTTCTTTTTAAGCAAAAGGTATGCGTAATATCAGTGCATTTTGATATAATGAGCGCAATGTCACTTTGAGAGACTTCTGGAAGAGAAATGGCTTTTTCGCGTCGCTCAAAACGCGATTTCAGATTCAATCTATGTTCATATTTAAGATATATTTTTTCCTACTTTTCTTTAATATTTATAAAACGCTATATATATATTAAACTAAAGCGAATTATGTAGATGCAAAAGTAATAATTAGTTTTAATTTATTAATTGTAATTAATTAAATTAACTTGACACTTTAACCAATTATTAGATTAATAGTTAATTTTTTTCATGCATATTTATTGAATATATATCTATACTACCTGTGTGATATATATATATATATATATATATATATATATATATATATATTAAATAATAGATCTATCTATATATTAGATATATTTATCATAATTGATTTTAATATAGATGACATAAAAATTCAAAATAATCAAATTTAACATAACAATAAATAAGAAATATATGTAAAATAATGATAAAGAGAAGACATATGTGATAAAATAAATTAATATAATAATAATAAAAAGTTTTTTTGTAATAAAAAAAATTAATTCTACAAAATTTGCACGCTTTATACTAAATAGAATTTTGATAATAAGTATTCATTTATGATATTTTATATATTCAATTGTATGTATATTGATATATTTAATTGCTTATTGAAAGATATTTGCTGTGCATACAAACATACACAATGTTGTTTACATTAGAAAATACCTTTTATTAATAGGCGAAAGTTATATACGCATTAATGTGCACGTGAAACATTATTTATTCATAACATTATTTATTCATAAATATTCTCATGAATCTTTATTTATTTCTAGTCACGATAATGGATTCTATGAAAACCGATTTTGCAGAAAAAAATTATTTAATTTTCATCTTCTTTTTTTATACATATAAAAAATTATTATAAATTTAAAGTATTCAATTAATTTCGCGTTCATAATAAATTTTGCATTGATATGTTTTCCTTATCAATTCGTTTTACAATTGCCAACGTTTCTGCAATTCTGAGAGGACAATTTAATAATTTGACATATCATAGAAAGAAAGTAAGAGAGAGCGAGAGAAAGAGAGAGAGAGAGAGAGAGAGTAAATAACTTGAAAAATATTTGAAAATCATATAATTAATACTTTTATCATTTTCTTTCTTTTTCTATACCACTTCTCTCTTTCATATAATTTTAATATATAATGCGTACTCAATGAAATTCATTTTTATTTATTATCAAACAAACGCAAAACAGAATCGCGTGCAGTGTACCCTTCACGCTTCCTAATTCCGAATTAAATTATCAATATAAGTACAATTAAATTAAATTAGTTTGTGCGCATTCATGTTTTCGCATTTATTTCACGTAAAATATATCTCCATTATCGGAAGTGATCTGGCCGCAGCGGCCAACCGTCGTAGCGTAATTGCGGAAAAGGAATGTTCGGACAGACCGCGGGATCGCGATGAGGCAAAATCGAGCTGTAACGCCAATTACCGTCGTTTCCGCGATGTAATACGATCCACGAGAGATCACTCCCGCGTGGAGAAGGGCGTTCATTCACTCGCGCATTCGCACACATGAAGAGACAGTCACGCGCGAGCTCACCTGACTCTCCCCTGGTGTTGGCATCGGGAACGGAAGACCTCCTCCGATTGCTCCAGATCCTCTCCTCGACGGAGCCGCCGACGGTTCCGCCGGTTCCACCCCCGCTTCCGCCGCCGATCGAACCGCAACTCCTCACCCTGTCCAGCTGCTCCCTAGAGAAGCTCTTCGGATTGAATAGGAGATCGCCGGCGCTGCGCCGTTTCGCGGCCAGGGCACTCGCACTCGCATTAGCACTACCACCACTACCACCACCACTGACATCACCGGAACATGCCAGCAGGCTCAGTTTCGTCCTTGAATCGGCGGCCATCAGCGCGGACTCGAAGCTACCGCGCCAGGAAAATCTCTCGTAGTCGCTGGCCTCTCGTTCCTCCCCTTCTTGGCCGGTGGAGGCTGCCGGGTGGCTGTTGATCAACAGCAGCGGGTCGTGGGACTTCGACCTCGGCAGTTGCAGATGCACCGACGAGGGCGCGTTGGTGGAATCGGACGTTGAATCATCGTCCTCGGTAGTCGACGTCGAGGATGGAGTCCGATGATGCTGAGAGTATCGTCGCCAGGTGGTGGAGTGATGATGCGCGGCTGGACCACCTTCTGAAACCTCGTGCATCAGCGCTACCAGTCGGCTCCCGATATGATGCATCACTTTGGCGATCAGCGGAGGGCTGCTGTGAGGGGTGGAGTTGGCGTCCGAGCTCACGCCATCGCCGGCCATCTTCGTGAAACTCTGCACCAGCTTCTGATAGACGAACGCGGTATCTCTGCCCAAGCAGGGTGCGGTTTGTATCGTGGAACTCGATTGGGATCCCGAGCCTTTCAGCTCCCTTTCCTTGTCCGATAGCGTCGGATCACCGCTATTGCCGCCGCTTCCGCCGCCTCCAGACGTTGTGTCGAATTTGCTGATAATCTGCTGGCAGCTCTGCGAGATCTGCTCTTGCAGAGCCGACCTACGTCCGCTGGCGGCGCTCTCGAGGTCGGAACTAGTATAATCCGAGCTGTCGTAGGAATCCGACCACGTGTCCTCCGAGCTGAGATACTCGACAATCTCTCGCACCTGCTCGTCGCGTATTCCCGGGACTGTCTTCATCAGTCGCGTCAGCTCGTTCTCGAAGTATACCAATTGCGGTGGTTTGGTGCGATTCTGAGCGTAAAGACGCGCCTTCGAGGCATAACCCGGAAGTCGTGGACTCGGTGCCGGCGAGACACCGCTGGAATTCGCGTTGGTGACGCTCTGTCCGGGAGTCTGTCCGTTCGAGTTGGCCACCATCGTCTTGAAGAATTGCCGCATCTTCGACATCATGAGATTCGTCTCTTCATCGCTGGACCAATTATTGAAACTGTCTTTGCGTGAGAGTGAAACGTTTGCCAGATGTGGCAGACTTGCATGGCTTACCGGATGTTTCGTCAAGTTGTTTTTTTCCGTACCATCAGCACCTTCCTCGGAGCTTCGATTCGCATTCTGAGAATGTTCCGAGATCTTGTTGAGCAAGCGATCCTTGCCGATTTCCTGGTCAATCTCCATACCACTCGTTTGATTTTCATCTGGCAGTTTTTGATGCTGAAGAAGATCGTCGCAGCTACCGACAAATCCCGAATCTCGCGATTGCTGTTTTGATCGTTGACCATCGCTCGAATTTAGCGCAACCGAATTCCTTGAAGAATCCATTTGCGAAGACGAGGCCATGTTCAATGTGTTACTGCTATTAGTGAGAGTAGATGGCGAGGAAGACGAGGATAAAATGGACTCGGGCTGTGGAGTTTTTGCTCGATCCGAGTCTTCGGAGTTCATCGCTTCGTTGTCGTTTTCCATCACGATTTCATTCATCAGCGTCATCTCTCTACTGGGTTCTGGTGTCTTGTTTCGATCGTCCGGAACACGTGGACTCTGAGTTCCCAGATTTCGCGGCTTCTTCTTCTTACGTTTTACTGTATCAAACTGACCGTCTGTTCCAAAAACGGCGGTCTGACCATCATCAGTGCCATCAGTCTCTGTCGAGGAACCTTCAGATTGAGTCTCTTGCGCATCTTGATTAAGACTCAGATCCTGAAGAGAATTTTGCGAGCTCAAGTTCTGCGAACTTTGCGTGAGCGCCAACAGATTATCTAAAGAAGAACTATGAGATCTACCTGTACCCCTCGCACGCACTAATTTTTTCCTTCTCTGCGCTTCCGGACTAGGTCTACCTTCTGAATCACTACCTACTGAACCGTCCGAATCTCTCCTATCCTGATCAAAGCCAAGGAATTCCGATAAATAATATTTTTCCAATCTAGAAGAATTCAGGAAATTATCGCTGGTATTTGATCTGTCCTGAGTCTGACTAATACCGTTAGTTTCATCTTGTCCAAGCGATTCCAGTCCTTCGGAGTAAATCGACGAAGTCTCCGATAGACTGTCGACCTCGCGCGATCCCATGCTGGAATTGTTTCCATCGCCTCCCAATCCGAAGAAGAAATATTTCTCCAACTCTGAAGCAGAAGGTGGCCTTGGCTTCTTCGAGGGACTTCCTGTAGTCAGGCTAGGTTCTGTTTCACTCTCCTCGCAGGATTCCTCGACGATGGTATGCAAGGTAAAGTCGATCGCTTGCCTGCGATAGCCTCTGAGCTCCTCTTCACGATCGCCAAAATTATTAGCTTCATCCTCGGAGCTCTCTTCCGTGGCAGTAGTTGCACCTTCAGTAGGTTCGTCTTCATCATGGGACACTTCTTCCACCCAGGAATCATCGTCGGCCAGACCTTCTTCAAGTATGATAACCCCGCCAGCGCTTGAATTTTCGTCGCTGGACTGTGACGAGACGCGTGTTCGCGTATTTTCGCGACAATCCGATATCAAACGATCTTTGGACACGTCATCGACGCTCTCCTGTCGACAATTATGTGACTTCGACACGTTTTTCGACGCAGATACATCGTCGCTTTCACTAGCACTACCGACACTCAAACCACTATCCGCTTCAGGCTCAACCGATTGATGACCTGTCGCAGTAATTGCGACCGCCGCTAGTTTCTTCACCATTAACGGCTTGCGAGGAGCGTTTTTGCGATGAAACTGCGGTTCGCTCGCCGCTTCTAGCGCCAGCTGAAAGTAACCGGCCAGACCCCCTTGACTCCCAACCGAATGGATTTCATCCGGTTGCAGCAACGTTGTAGTGTCCGATGTAACGACGCTCACCGGCTGATACGAGGCTTCCTGGGTGATCATCACGAGGCTTCTATATTTATTACTGCTGCTGCTATTGTTGCTGTTATAAACGTTAGTACTGTTATTGTGCTGGGCTGGGTCTCTCGCAAGATCCTTGGCCGATACTTGACAGTCAGCTGGGAATCCATTCTCTTGCCGAGTACACGGGCGTCGCTCGACTGAGCGAAACCGTGTCGCGTCTCCCTCCTCGGCGCTCTCACCACCACCACCACTATCACTGTTACCATCACTATTTCCTCCCACCTGAACAACAATCTCGCCTCTCACCGGGCCGTCATGCGCAGTGTTCATCTTGCCGCCCGCGCCACCTTGCTCCTCTGCGCTCCTCGACATCTCCTGAATCCTGCTGGTGATTATTGCGTCGTCCACATCGACTCCTACCCGTTCCTCGCCCGCCGGTGCCATCAGGTCGTTGTCTTTCAGCCCGCCATCTTGACCACCGCGACGACACGTAACAGACCGATAACCCTCATCGTCGTCGTCGTCTTCATTGACCTCATCGCCATCATCCTTTATGTCGATCGTCGGCGAATTACTTAAAGCTGGCTCGCCAATCGATCTCTCGGACTGATTTTGCTTCACGCCATTCTTCGTCATCGTCAGACTTTTTTTATCATCGCGATTATCATGAAGACCGTTCTCTTTAATATCTCTCGTAGTAGCTTCTGTGTCAATTTGATAGAGTAACTTGCCTTTAATCGCGGTGTCCCCGTTGCTGTAATTAAAGAATGATTCGGCCGAAGTTACCTCGTATTCGTGAAGTTCGTCGCTGCTAATTTCGCTCCCCGTAGTATTGCTCTCGGTGCTGGTGCAACTGTCAGTTGACGCATCGATAATGACGTTGCCATTCGAACAATTCGGTCCCGATAAACGCGGTTTCTTATCTCCTTGTCTCTCGTAATCATTCGTTACGATCAATCTTGCAACTTGTTCATCATTGTAAATTCGAGGTTTCTCTTGGTGGTTTACACTGACATCCTCGATGACTGAAATTTCAGAAGACATTCCGGAAATTTCGAGAGAATCCGGGACGATGGTCGGATCCCAGACATCACTCGCAAGTGACTTTGGTTCAATCAGATCGTCCTGCGAAATTTCTCTCAACGGATCGACGATTTTCTCTTCACCATGTACTTTCGAAATAGATCTTTCGTCCATCTTCAAGATATCTATAGATAAATCAATACTATCAGGATCGAGCATTCTGATGGATTTCAATTCGATTCGATTGTCAGAACACTCGCTATCACCCGCTAGATATATTTCTTCAGGGATCGATCGACACTGTAGTAGAAGTGGAAGTTGATTATCGCCGTTATCAGCTCCATCCTTTCTGCTACGATTTTTTCGTTTATTGGTCAAATTAACAACAGGTTCATCCAGTGATTTGTTTCCATTTTCGGAGCAAGCGTTGCCGACGATATAAGCCTTGGAATGCTTTTTGGATTCTTTCAATTCGTTCTCGTTTATTTCCGATCTATTTTCCACAAGAACATCCTCGTTTAGTAGCCTCACGTGTTGCAACACTACCGGTTCCTCTTCAGGAATCGCGGTGACGCGTTTCAAGGTTACACCACCTTCCGCTGCGGAATCCGAATCATCCTCCGCGTTGTCTTCGATATCGTTGTCACTGGTGAGCGAATCGTCATTCACCACGAACACCTTGGAAAACCTGTGCGAGCTAGAATCCTCTTCCAGATCGCTACTGTCCGCCGACGACCTCCCGGACGAGCTGCCCGAGTCCTCTCGCTGGTACATCCCCTGAGCGCTCCTCTCGAAAGACGATGATAAAGAATCCTCACAGACCTCCTCATTTTCTTCCTCTCTCGTCTCTTCATTATCCTTTTTGCATTCCTCTTCAAAGCTCTTCGTCTCCTCCAATTTACTCTTCATGACGGAAGAACCAGATTTACCGATGCCCTTCACCGACACATTCTCCTCCCTTCTGAGCTCTTCGGCTTTCGACACGATTTTCGCGTCATCTCTCACATCCTGAGGAGACTCGAGGTTAGCCGATGGAACCGTTGCCGTTTCGGTTATCGATCCGTATAGCCTCGGGGACATCATCTGTTCCGGTGGATGGAAGGTACAGGTGGTCGGATCGAAGGTGCCGGCAAGTCGTGGGTCCAGACGAGCGCCATGTAAAGGCTGGTTGAAGCGGGGGTGCCAGGCGAACCAGGGCGCCGCCGGGTCGCCTCGTAACCTCAGAGTTCCCGACTCGGCGTGTGCGTCTCCGCGACTTATCATGGATGATGCGGCCGCCGCGAAGTCGCCGGTCCACAGGGCGGCCGGTATCGGCACCGGATACGGAACCGGGACCGGTATTGGCACCGGCACCGGGAGCACGTTCGCGCTTCGGGAGCCGCCGCAAGCCTAGATAGAACGATATTGGATGATAGCTCGCGACATACTTATCTCAAAGAGCCTTCTATCTTTTTATCAGTTTGCGAAATTCTTATCATCTTAACATTTGCAGCAGATATGAAGAAAACTTATGTTTCTTTTATTTATAATAAATGAATTTATCTCGATTTAATTTGAGTCGAAATTGATTTCTTTCCTAATTTTTTATTTTTCATATTATTTCTCATATATTTTTCACACGTTTTATTTTTATTTTAAGTAAGTGAAATTTATTCTTATATTTCATTTAATTAAATTTAATATTATTTTTAATTTAATATTATTTTAATTTAATTAAATTTAATATTATTTTTATATTTAATTAAATTAAATGAATAGAGCAAAGTTTCAAAAAAATGCAAATGAAATATGACAATATAATTGCGTTAATAATTGAGAAATATATGCATATCATTCGTTAAAAAATATTCGTTAAAAATATGCTATGTTTTTTTTAATATTTAATTTTCCACATTTCATATTTTTTATAAAAAAATATATGACATTTTGATATTATTCAGATACATGCAATTTGAAATTTAATATACATAATAATCTAAAATTATATATAAAATTTTTTGTGCTTTCTATTAATTATAAATGTACTCTACTTATACAAAATCTATAGAAATGGATTAACAGTTTGAAAGCCGACGATGAATTTGCTGGCAAAGCACTTATCGATCGCTTAATCAATATGAGCCTTCGTTGATATACGAGACAAGTATGCGAGTATGGTTTATTGACAAAGTGTGACCGTGAATTTCACATAGCTGCCATGTACGGCTCTCTTCGCTAGTAGAACGTGAATGATTAATTTAGCTGTAGCAATGTATTTGTCAAACGGATGCACAAACAGCGGCACTCAGTCGCGGTCACATGAATTGTGTTCATATCCATGAAAATTCTTTTCATCGCGATGTAATATCCTCTTCTTCTCGATTTATTTATAAAATAATTTCGCGAATAAATACAGTAATTTATTTTCAAGTATTTTTTACGTTAAAAAAGGATAATATTGAAAAAAATAAAATCATTAAATTTAATCAGTTTAATTAGTAAAATTAATTAAAGATAGGAGAAACTATGAAAACGCTCATAAAAATTATAAATCGTCCAATAATTATATCTAATAATAAGTCTTAAAAAAATTAAAATAATAAACACGAATGTTGTTGCGCACGCGAATTTGAATATTTGAACTTTTTCTTAGTCGAGAAAAAAATACAATCGAAAAATTACGATCTTAATTTTCATTTTTAAATTTATATTTATGTAAATTTATATTTATGTAATAAATATTTAAAATTTCAATGAATTTTCTTAGCCGAGAAAGAAAAAAAATACAGTTAAAAAATTACGATTTTAATTTTTAAATTTACATTTACAAAATATTATTTTAAATTAATATTTCAAAAAAGTTAAAATGATAAATGCATACATTGTGTTACACTTGCAAATCTACTGTAATGACTATTTCAATTTTCAATGAATTTTCTTAGAGAGAAAAAAAATACAGAAGAGAAATTACGATTTTAATTTTCATTTTCAAATTTATATTTTATAAATAATTTATATAAACCCACAAGCCGAGCAATATACACATATATTTATTACTTTAACCTCTTTAGACACAATCATTACACATGATTTTTGCCAGCGATTTCTGTACCAATTTAACATTTTAATCCACAACTGATGACTATGACACACTATGACACATGTGAATAACAACTTGAGGACCGCGCTTACCTGGCAGGCGGCGGAGCCGCGTCCCGGACAGCAACTCCAAGCGTCCTGACCGATGCTGGCGTCCGCTGTGGCACCGGCGACGGTGACGATCGGCGTCGTCGGCAGCGGCAAGGAGCCACTCTCGAAGTAATCCCAGTCGCAGTCTTCGAGCGACTGCGCGTGATGATGATGATGGTGGCCACTGTTGCGCGGCAGCCCGTTCAGGTAGGACGAGCTCGAGCAACTGCTGTCGGCGTCGTCTTCCTCGCGCCCCGACGATGAATCCGAGCTGATGAACACGAGCCGTCTGTAGTCGACTGCGGATGCAGCTGACTCCGGAGCAATCGACGCGGGATTAGGACTGCGTTGTCGACTTCCGCTTCCGCCGCTGCCGCCACCGCGTCCGATCAGATTCAACGTTTGCAGGCTCTGCAAATCCTCGCTGGTGCAGCAGGACGATCTCGCATGCGATCTCCCGCGACGTCGCGGACCTTTTGCAACAATCGTGAATAACCGTTAATGATTTCATTCGTCGTCTATCCCTCGGGTTGATCCAATGATATCGAAGCGATAAGATCGAGGAGACGGAATGATAAGAGACGGAATTGCCTGATAAGTTTCACTTATCAACATGTTAGTAGCTGCTTTATCGTTTTCATCGATTAGCTTTTTAGTGCTCTAGGTAATTTATAGCTTTTGAAAGTAACACAAGTCCATCTCCCAAAACATAGTTCACAAGAGATGTCAATAAAATAGCGATACAATTGTTGATAAAAAAAATATATACATTTTACACACATACATGTATTATCAAAATCAAAGAAATTATTTTAAAATTCTGTAAAAAGCTTGTAATGTTGATTCGCAAAAAATTTGTAAATAAATTCGCAAAAAAATGTAAAAAAATAGCAATTTCGAGCAACAACTATAGCGATCTAATGAGGAGAAGCATCAAGTTTCATCAAGTAAAGCATTAGTCTACAGACTAAAAATGCGACTGCATTTTAATAGAAAGCATCCCTTGCGGAGTCTCATTTATACTGCTGGAAGCAGTGAGCAAATTACGATGCAATTAGAAGAGAACGCGCACAAAAGTCTGCGCTAATGTTTCTCGCAACTCGAGGAACTAACTCCTGAATGTTACGAGCTCGTATACGTTTGCTCATGACGTTAACGAACCGTGGATGAATTCTAAATTTTAGTGATTACAGAGCCATAACATGATAACGCGTTGATTCACAGACTCTCTCGATTTCATCGACTAATCACGGATAATCGATAAAGTAAATAAAGATTGATTATTTTGCGATAACCGTGTATATTTTACATAAATTTTTATTTGCACTAAAATTCAATTCAGTTTTTTTTTAAATTATGACATTATTTAGATTTAAACACGAAATACCGATTATTTTATTTACCGAGAACTCAGAGAAATGTTTTTCTTTTCAATCTTCCTTCTTGATTCAATTAACAAAAAGAAAATGCAATGTTTTTCCAAGCGCACAAAAGGAAAACTATACTCGACTATAAATGGTGTACTAATAGTAATGACGATACGAAAGTGGTATGTTAATGAACGACGTAACGCATCCCCAAGGCTCTTTGTACTTTGTTACTTCGCACACGCACACATGCGTTAGTACACGCAGAAGGATTGAATTTATATCTATTGTGCATCCCGCGCGAAACAATGCACTTTTATTGCGTCGACGGCGTTTAAATCTCTGGTCATGTTACACCACCTTGATTTTGTATCTGCTTCTCATCTATTTTGTAAAATATTTTTAAAGAAGAGCTTCCCTCTTCAATTTTCAAGAAAAAAGAGATGAAACATTTCTTCGTTACATCCTATGGAAGGATTTTCCTCTGAGATTAGGTAAAACCATATTTATTAATTTTTATTGATTATTAAAATTATTTTTAATAATAAAATTAATTTTTTAATCTTAAAATTAATTTTAATTTTTATTAATTAATAAAGGAAATTAAGATTTTTGCTCAACTCATTTTTTTCGCTTATGCACTAGATGTGTTTGAGCTGATAAGTTGATAAGAAAAAACGGGACATGGCGATCAGGTGTCATCAACCAACAGTTCGTCGTGAATGGCATGTGTAAAGGTGCACAGGGGAGGGGACAGAATTGGGGCCCCGCTCTGTCGGCGCGCTTTATGCCCATTTTTTACGCGCCGTTGAATTACCTGGTCAATGGCACGAGGGCGGCCCATCGTCTCCGTCCGCGTGTGTTTCCCTTTCCCCTCGTGCGCGCCGTTATCACTAACCGGGCCTTCTTGATTATTCTTATAATGACGTCGCTCGAGAGGGGAAAAGAGAGAAAGAGATAAGAACAAAATAGGAGAGGTGAAAAAACCCAGTACAGATATAAAAAAAGAAGAGAAAAATAAAACGTTTTTTTCTCATAAAATAATTTTGTATAAGAAAATTGAAGCTTTTCTTCAAAATTTTGTTCGCTTTTTTCAGATATTTAACATCTTTATCTTTTTAAATATTATACAAATTGATTTTTCATTATTTTTAATTTTTTTAGATATGAATTAATCTATTTTGAATAATCGCATTCCAATTAACTATGTAATTGCAATTAATATTTTTAAGTAGATAAATTCTTTAAAAACAGTTCAAAATTGAACTAAACTCTAAATTGCTTCATTAAATACATAGTTTGTAATTTTTTTAAATGTACTTTAGTTACTATTTTAATATAATAAAAAAAGCAAAGTTATATTTTTAATTTTTTTTTAAACAATTTTAATAAAATTTTTGGGATTGAAAAGATATTAAACACGACAAAATTCAAATAATTTTTCTAATTAAATATAAAAAATGTTTTTATTATGCATCTAATTTAAAAAATTTTCCGAATCATATGTTTTATATAATTTGCCACGAAAATCTCATTAATTCATTAAAATTGCTTCGAAAAGAGATAAATTAAAGATAAGAAAATTTTAGTTTTTTTTATTATATTAAAAAAATACAAAGGAAAATGTTATATTAAAAAAATAATAAAAAAACTCAATTTGTTTTTCTTCAAAATTTGTTTTCTATTAAAAAGAAATTATTTTCTTACATTTCTATTCCCAATAAAAGAGAAATTTAGCAAGTTTAAATAGAACGCATTTGAAATGAGAGTAACGGAAATCACGAATCTGGGTCTTTAGCGATAATAAGATGATAAAAATCGAAAGATTTAAGAATGAGGTAAATATTCATAATCTTTAAGAATTAATACTTTTAATAAATCTAATATTTCATACTAATCAATTATTTTACATATTTGCGATTATATCTATGATTATATTTGTCGCGATCTATATTTTATTGAGATTACAGATTTTTATGAGCACTATATGAGTTAAGAGGATGAATCAAATAATTAATATCTTATATTTTTCTTAAATTTAATATCGCATGTATATGTAAATACTTTTTTTACATGGAGTATATTAATTTATAATTTGTTTGATTTTTTTTACATACTTAAATGTAAAAACTATTTTAAAATTTATATTTTTTTATTCATGAGCATCCCGAATTATTACTTCAACTTTAATTTAACTTCATAAATATCGCGATAGAAAATGTGTTTACTTATTAATTTAAATCAATGCTTAAAAATTTTTAAATTCCCTAAGATATATAAGAATGTAAGATGGGAATTGTACAAATAGATTGTCTAGGAAATGTCTCTGTTAATCTTTTTTATATTGAATATCTTAATAATAAAGGAAACTCAAATCAAAAGATTCGATTAAAATAAAGTCCATGTGAAATCAGGATTAAAGCTGTTTGTTAGAACATCAAATTTAAGTCTCTGTTTTTAAATTTCAAATTTAATTTTCTTTACAGAAAGAAAATCTCTCATAGAAATTCAATATAAAACATGATAATGAATTTTGACAAGATACAATTGAACAGATAGATCGGAATCAAACTCGCCACAAAAAATGCTCTTGAATCTCCGCGGAAATTTCGCAAAATTTCACATGTATTTCTTTCTGTCGGTTTCTGATATAATTTAATATTATTTGTCAATCTTCCGAAATAACGCTCGAGTAAACAACGATATCAAATATTGTTGAAGGTTTCTCACCTCAAATTTTCACCAATCTCAGCTTTTTTATTGTCCTTGACGTGACGATAGTTCGATTGTTATCGTACATGCAAAAATATATATAATCACATAATCACGCATTTCGTATTTTTCACGAAAGAATTGAAAAAGATTTGTATAAAAGAAAGCGAGAAATTAAAAAAAAATGCTTATTTCTTTTAACACTGATTTTTTAACTTATAGTTACCAACATATCAAAGATATTATTTCTGAAGAGATCACGGTACAAATCACAAACAGCTTTTCGGCGACGTCCTTATTTAAAGCAAAGTATGTACACTATGTGAAAAAATATATATTTCCCTTCCTTTTTTAAATAAATGTTTAAAATAATTTTTCCAATATATAAAAGAAGTTCACTTACACACACACACACACACACACACACACATTAAAATAAAGACATATACTGTATATATACCTCCTCGATTTTTATATATCGAGCCAATCCTTTTGCTGTAATTATCCAAAGATATTAAAAACGATAGGAGAAGGATCGAAACGCGCTCGGCTATCACTTTCGGACGTTGAAAAATTGGGAAAGTGCGACAAACTTTTCTCGATTCGTTTCCCGTTCGCGAAATAAAGACGGCTTTGGTCGCCACACCAAGGCGAAGAAGGCAAAGTGAGCGATTCGCGTGGGCTACCGCCGCTAAACTGAGAGCGTCTACGCCGAGGGGGCACACCTGAGTCCCCCCTCGCGCGTCGGTCACTACCTTAACTACGGTGCCTATAGTACCTTGACGCTATAGTGCAACACGTCTGTGTTATACTGGGTGATCTGTCTCTTTAACATACCCTTTCCGCCGTTTTTCAACCCTATTTTATTAATATTTTCGCTAGAAAAATTCGATAGATTTAACGCTTCGCTAGAACAACATCTCCAAAAATATCCCCAAGATATACGTTTAAGAAGTCCGTAGACGGAAACAATAATAGAACGCATACAATACGCTATAATTTCGTTAAGCAGTCCATAAAGATTGATTTACATTATACACTTAATTTATTGATTTATTAATAAATTATAAAATTTACTTAATTTTCTTTAGAAAATTTAATTTCAAAAATTTTTTAAAGAATCAATAACAGATGAACAAAATCGACAAATTAACTGAAAGTTTTGATATGTGTTGAAAAATTTGATATGATTGCGAATATTTGATTGTGTTGCCTTATTGTTAAATAAAAAAAGACAGATCAAAATGACACTTTTTTGAGTCCGTCATAATATTAAAGACAAATTGAGAAGAAAGTCTTTCTCGCAACATTATATCAAAAATCATCAGCCAAAAAGAAATTTTGTAAATATACTTTAGAATGTATCAACAACTCTTCTAACAATTTATTAATTTATTTTCAAAAATTAAATATGATATTTGATAAAATAAAACATTCAATATCTAGGGAAACTAAATCTATCTGATAAAAATACTCTCTACATGTTTTGATACTGCTGTTTACAAACTGTTATTTGTTTATATTAGATAAAATATCATCGACAAAATATCGTGTTATTTCATCTCTTTTTCTGTTATGCGTACGTTACAAATTCAATATATAAATATAAATACGTTTATATAAAAGAATATATTTTGTTTATATTTAACTATATAAATCATCACTTGAATCAATCTTAAATTCATCATATTTTTTCTTCTCTTTAACACTTTTCAATCAAAATAAATAATATATATATGTATATTTTATTAATATACAAGGTGTATATTTTATTAATATACAGGTGTTCATTTTAAAACTTTCCACCGTTTACTTCACGATTGACTTCTTTTGCGAAAAATGTCAAAAGACGTGAATTTTGTTCTTGAAGGAGACATTTAAGTATATTAAATGCAACAAAATTTTTTCATCCTCTTAATCGGTGTAGCTATCCCTTCAAAAATCTTAAATGAAAATAGGGATCAAGTGATTATCTACAACTCTCTTTCTTTTCAATTTAAATAGATATTTCATCGTATTTGGAAATTTTAGATGTCAAAACAATTTTACATAGAAAGATATATTTTAGAGTAGAATTTATTTATTAGTCATTTATTATAACAAATGTTAAAAATGTTCTCCATTATTTTCTAAACAATAATATAAACGATTCTCAAATACTGAATATGACTAGCTATCCCGACGAAGAAGATGAAAAAAAACTTCGTTGCATTTAATGTACTTATGCAAATGTCTCCCTCGAAAACAAAATTCACCTCTTTTGACATTTTTCGCAAAAAATAGTCACTCGTGAAATAAACGGGTGAAAAGTTTTAAAATAAATACCCTGTATATATTATATATATTAAATGAATATAAATAAATATCTTTAAAAAAAGATTCTTGTGATGAGATTCGCAGATCATAGAAGTCGAAATTTTTTTATAATTTGACACGTAATCGATTATGACATTTCGGAGTCACGGACGTGACGTATTATTCCTGCGTCACCCCGTATATTCGCGACGCAGGTGAGTGGACTATAGAGCGTCAGCAGGGGGAACGCTGTTACACTATTATTCCTCTGAGTCTGGCTTCGCTTCGCTTCTCTCACCTGCCGCCCCACGTACATATGATTCCGTGCCAAAAGGATCATACTTGGGCGAGAATGGACAATAGAGATAAGACGGAACAGATAGGACTTTCATTCGAAATCTTTGAGATTTGACCTCGAGCGAATTATACTTGAAATAAATGGTTGTAAGTGTCGTAAATCTCAAAACTATAACTACAAAGTAAGCCTATTTTAAATGGATAGAAGACTCAAGACAAGATATTAATTTACTACAGTGTGTTCTCTTTCTCTCTACAATTTTTTTTTTTTGACGAATTACCTTCTTTCTCATTTCTTCCTTCATTCTGGATAAATATTTTTTGTAACGAGAATTCTTTCATGATAAAAATTTAGAAAAGTACCTCTCCTCATTAGTTTGTTAATTACTTTGAGTCCATAGCAAGTACAATATCACGACAATTCCGGCGTAGAAAATAAGAAAGTACATTGATAACAGAAACGTGATTGATAGTTGAATTATTCTTTGCGGCTCCATGTTTGCAAAAAATACACACACTTCTTTTTTTTCCTTCTCTCTCTCTTTCTCTGCGCAAATTAATAAAGAAAAAAATTATAAAATGAAATAATCGATCCGCTAGATATTCAATTTATGCTCGACTCGAATTACGATCGTCTTCGATATCACGAAATTACGTATTTTAAATTATTTAATTATTTTTTATTACGTAATTTAAACTATTTAATTATTTTATTACGTAATTTAAATTATTTAAACCACGAAAACCACCGACAATTCGGAATATGAACTATTTTATGCACTGTTAAATATCGAGCATTCCTTTCGTATTCCATCGAATCTCTCGCGTCAAACAAAGTATGAGATTAAAAATAATTATTTTATTTTTTTTTAAACTTTTCTGCTCCGTTAAAACGTTATCTTTAATTTAGAATATTTGCTTGATAAACTAATTGAGATATAAATTTTAGAATTACTGTATTTTGCACTTTTTGATATAATTTTAGCTAGATACGATTTTACCCTCGAGCCCAACACCGGACCGGTTTATCGTTTTACGAGTTTACGTTTTTTTCAATTTTTGGCAACGTCCCGCATGACTCTCTCGGAGAATACTGACTGCCTGCGAACCAGGAAATTTGCCAGGGGCTTCGATAATCAATGAGCTTATCGTTACGGGGAGCCATATGGCGCTCTTTATATATGCATGTACATATATCATGCTAAATGTGCACACTATGGATAATGGATGTATAATCAAAATAAAAAAAGACTATTATAACGCTAACAAACTTGATAAACACGTAGAATTTTTGCAAAATTATATATATACGTAGAATTTTTGCAAAATTATACATGTATATAACAAGCCATGAGTATTTTAATTAATGTACGAAGCGTATCAAAATTACAAGAATTTCCGAAATGTGTCAAAGTTACAAGGATTACAAAGAAAGTTCGTTTCTGATCGACGAAGAAAACTTATGTTTTCACGGTCGATTACGATTATAGAACTCAATAAGAATAAAAGGATATGTCAGGAATTTAATTGGCACTCGCACGAGCACGCGATTATACGCGGGCAGACAATCGCGAAAGCGAAACGATACATGTTATCGTACATTAATTGCATTGTTTGTAATTATTAATTACGCATAATTGCGGCTTTTAAAAATATAAGAATAAATTCGAGAAAACAAACAGAGAGAACTAGGGCTCTTTCAATTATAAATATTATGTCTTTGTAATCAGAAAATAAAGGGAATAAAACTTCAATTATATAATTGAAAAGATTTGAAATTTTTTTGAAGAAATTTTAGTTTTTCTTTGTTTTATTTTCTTCGGTTGCTATCATAAATATTGTAATTGTAATTACCTTGAGCGTCGAACTGCCTTCTTCGTCGTAACATTGTTCTCCCTTGGGAAGGAAGCGGACCTGTCCTATCGTGACCATCCTCGTTAGTTTCATCCTCGCCTGCACTCGTCGCGCTGTCACGTTGCACCATCTCGTCACCGCCAATCGTCGACGAGACCGCGCCGCTGTTACCTCCGAAAAATTTCACCTTCCTGGTTAGTTCCACGTATCCGTGCAAGCCGGTCTCACTTAATCTATGTAGGGAGAAAAAGAAGAAACTATAATATCTAATTTTTTAAAGATTTTTGTATTTTAGAAGAGTAATTCTTTCTTTTTTGAATAATTTAGCATAACTTTTTATACTTAAATTAATTTTTAAACTTAAATTTAATTCAACATATTTTTTGTGTTTAAAAAAAATCGCCTTTTTTCTTAAATAGATTTTTAAAAAATGCAGGCAAATACGCTCTCTTGAATATGTTGGAAGCAATTTAATTTTACTAAATCTTTCTGGTCAACTCACCTGACACTCTCACTTCCGCTGCTCTCGTATCTGGTGCTACTGTTGGATTCTCTCCTTGTTCTCGTAATAGTATCACGTATCCTCTGCGAGGCGGAACAGGAGTCTCCTCCGATTTTACGTGGCAATGCAGGAGTGGGCTCGCTCTCGCTCTCTCGAGGACTGTATCTTGATGATCTCGTACTCAGTGGACTAGCTTCCGGCGACAAATGCTGTCAAAAACGAGGATATTTAATTAAAAACTATTCTTTACAAATATAATATAAAATACATATAATAAAATGGAAAAGAAATGTAAGATATGCATAATTTTTTAATATTAATTTAATTTATATATGTACTTTAAGAGAAGAGAGTGTTAAAAATGTGTAAAATTCAATAAAAACTTACACTTGAACAACGTTTATTCGGAGTATCGTCGGTGTCGTCTGGATTCGAGAATTCTTCCTTGGAAAATTTTCGCCGCACCTATTTAGCAAACAATATGCTTGATAATATCGTGCTTACACTCGAGAGATTAAACAACGCGATATAGTCATAAATAATAAATAAATGGTAAAATTAAACGTGCACATAATAGAATCTTTTTTCTTCCTTTTGACAGATGATAATTCATAAATATACAATTAGCTTTTGCGTGAATAAGATTGTCATTTTCCAAGAAATTGTTCTTAGTTATTATTTCTTGAGTAGTTTAAGATAATAATTTTCTTTTTTATTTTATGTTTAATAAATCTCTTGTATCTTAACAGAATAAAATTAAATAGAAAAGCTAATATATATGTAAAAATTTTGAAAAAATTATCTAAATAGAAATTTTCAATAAAAAAAAATCATTGTAAAATCTTCAATACATTCTTAATAAAAAATATACATTCTCATAAGAAGTGAAATTTTGCGACAAGTGTTGAAATGTTCAAAATTTATATAATCTTATTTTTCGTAAAATAATTCTCTCTTATCTCGATTGAATTATTTATTGTAAACAGAGATTAATATATCATGATATATTTAAGAGAAAAGGTTCTCACGTTTCGCAAAGGATACCGGTAACACCTCCACGTACAACACACACACATACACGCCCACGCATACGATAAACAGTTCACAAGCATATTCACTGACCACTTGGAACTCGTCCGGCCTCTTTCCATAGCCGATCTCCAGCGGACCCTTTCTTTCACCAATGACGTCACCGTCGCTGCCGACGTCTAACAATCGATCGGCGGTGTCTCTCATCTCCTCGTCATTGTTGTTTCGCTCCTTGTTATTCCCCACGACAGGCTCGACCGATTCTGGGGTTGCCAACAAACGCTTCTCGTGTATCACTTCCTCGCCTAACGTGTCTCGCTCCCGCTCGTTCTGCGTGTTGTCCTCGGCGACGATGACGTCGAGCATTCTCGTGTCCCGGTTCTCCGCATCAGCTCGCGAGTCTAGTATTATTTCGTGCCGTTCGATCGCGACCTCGGCTGTCACCTCGCTTCTTGTCGACAATTCTGCGATGTCGTTAGGGTCGTTCTTGCCGTCTCCGCACTTTGTTCTGTTCTGTTCAATTCCAGCAACTTTCGATCTCGTCGAGCCGCCCACGTTCTCCGTTCTTTCTTGCCTGTCTTGCTGCTTACCTTTGGCGGATTCCTTGATCGGATTCGTACTCTCTCTGCCCACGTCTTCGCGACTATTGTCGCGGCGAAAGATTCTTATTCCTGATTTGCCGACTTCGTCCTTGCTGGTGGACGTCGGTGAAACTACGAGCGACGAGAACTTAGTCTCCTCCTTTCGCCCGGATTTCGATGAATGACGGATATCGTCCTTGCTGTCTTGCCGCTTCAATCGCTCCTCCTTGTTACGGGAGGACAACAATTTCGGGATCAAACTCGGCACACTTATGTCCTCGCGACTGCGACGCAAATCATCAGTGCTTCCTCTATATCTGCAAAATAATAATAAAAATCAATAGCAAATTATTTAATAGAAAATAATAATTAATTATATATATATATATATATATATATATATATATATATATATATTGATTAAAAATATTTCATTTATTTAATAAGTCTCTATCATAAATTCAATAGACACATAACTTTAAGGATAACATTGTATGGCTGCGTTCAGAAATCCTACTCGTAAGGTAGAGTGGTATTTAACCTACTAATCAGGATCGAGAAATGTTTGCTCCTTTTGTCCTTGATCGATTTGATATTACTTTACCATACGGGTAGGATTTTCTGAACGCGCCTTATAGAATGAATCGTAATATGTGGGATTTATATTTTATAGGTAGATTCTTTTGTCAAATTTATTATCCGCAATAAAGGAAGTAATTATGTACCTCTGAGGAATGAGCGATCGCTTAGGCGACTCCTGCGGACTTCGAATATCTTCGAATTCCTTAGAGCTCCTTCTGAAAATAGGAATATTCGACTTCCTCTCGCCATGCTTGATCGGACTGGGTTTCGTCTCGGGAGATATAAACTTGGCGAGTATCCTTGGCGGTTTTATCAGGGAGACCCTCGGTGTGCTGTGCTCCTGCGCAGGATCCTCTTGTTCCTTGCCCGAGCGTTCTTCCTTCTTGTTGAACTTTCCTGTGTCCGATGATGATACTTCCTCTACTGATTTGCTGATTGATTTTTTTCGTTTCGTTCGTTCATTGATCGATGTGCTCTTCTCGGTCGTTTCGCCTACATTCGCACAGTCTTCTGTGTCCTCGACATTCTTGCAGTCTTTTGTATTCAAAGAGTCATCTCGCGAATCTTCAAGTTTCGATGTTCTGTCGTCGAAGCCTGAATCATCCAACGGTTCTCGATAGTCTTGATGACGAGATGGCAGGCTACGATATAGACGCAGTTCTGGAGATTTCCTCGCAGCTGACCAACGTGTCGGAGGACCTTTCAAGAAAATAATTTATGTTACAAATTCGTAATTATACGATATGAACGCAATCGTGATTAAGTTTCAATGAAGAAATCAATAGAATAAATTAATACAAGTAGTTATGATTAGTATTTTAATTAATATTAATATTTAATTTGAATTTATTGAAAACAAATTCTTCTTTTTCTACAAATTTAATTAATTAATTATAAAAACGCACCATTAATTGTCCAAGCTCGTCGGATGCTGCGACTTAGTATGTCTACTGGAAACTGCGATGTTTTTTCGTTAACTCCACTGGAAACTGGACTTTCGTACATCCACTTGCCGGTAACCAAGTGTAGTTCTCTGAAAATTGAACAGGTTCAAAATTAGGTCAACAACGAGAAACAAAGGATGCATCGCGAAAGGCGTCCTTCATTTTTTGCCTGAATTCGAAATCATCGAAGTTTCACCTCAACTTCACTCTTGTTCACTTGCTACCTTGCTTTTGTAATTTTATCTTACTAATAATTATTTAGCAAAAGTCTGCATAAAATTTTATTATCTATCTAGAATAAAAAAAATGTTATAAAATAGGAATCATTATTATATATATGCATTATACTTGAATATCCATCCAAGACATTAATTATATTTTCTTTAAGCAATAATAAAACGAGTAGAAACAGTTCGTTTCATTTCAATCGTCATTCGTTAATAAAGAAAAATGATTTTACTTGAGATCGTCTCGGGAAGACACTTACGCGATTTTGTAGCAAATGTTGCAGATCCACTCGACTTCTTTGTCACCTGCTGCATGCTCTCTGATCTCGATGCGACACTGTCGGCACACGCGGTGTCTGCAACGCGTGCACCTCGCACCGGTGTTGTAAAATCTACCGAATGGCGCGCCGCATCGCGCGCATTTGCGTCCTTGATGGGATAGCTCGCCGCCGTTGCTGGCGGACGCCTTGAGCAGCCCCCTTCTTCTCAGGTACTGCAGATCAGCCTTCAACCTCCTGCGAACACAAAGCCGGATGCAGGAGATCCCAAAGTACCTTCGAACGCGACCTATCGCGTCGAGCTTGACTCGAAACTCGACTCAAGTATTATTAAGTAATTTATTATTTAATTATTTAAATTATTATTTTAATTTATTATTTTAATTTAAAAATTATTATTTTAATTTATTATTTAATTGTTAAATAAAAAAAATGTATGGTTCGACATGTGCTGTGACATGATGCTCCTCGCGTGTAATTGTTTAAAATGAAAGAATTCGATTTATTTTTATATATTTTTTTCAATAGGATATTATTGGGATGCTGAACTTAATTTTTGATTGAAAAAAATTAAAGAATAACAAAGTAGGGTTATTTTAAAATTAGATATTTCAATTTCGCTGAGATTTTCATTTTTTGAAAATCAGGGAATTATTAAATATTAACTTTTTCAATTCTAATTAGATCCAATGTCCCAAGGATATTCTAAGGAATAACATTAGATCGAGTCTTTCATTGTCGGACAATTAATCAAGAAGCAGCATATCATTTTTAACACGCTATGCACAGAAATTTATATTGAACGAAAGAAGCTAAATATCCAAGATTTAAAAATACTGACTTACTAAACACTAATAAAAACATATATAAAACGTCAAAAAAAAACAATTTTCAATATAAAAATCTTAATTTAAAAATCTTAAAAATCATCAATTTTTCATACTACATCTCTTAATAATGTCTTATTCTATCCGCTTCATCGTAATCGCGTTCTTCCAACTAATTCTTTAATAAAATCTTCTGCTGAATAAGAAGCGGATGAAAACAAAATATCCAAGATTTAAAAATTTACTAATGTAATTAACATTAATAAAAGATATATAAAACATTAAAAAACTAAATTTTTAATATTCTTCAAAAAAAAATTCCCAAAAATCAATTTTCATACTGAATCCCTACATCTTATTTTTATCTGCTCCATTCTTTAATAAAACCTTCTTGATTACTGAACCGAAGCGGATGAAAACTAAATATCTAAGATTTAAAAATACTAACTCTCTCTTATATTAAACATTAATAAGAACACGTATAAAACGTCAAGAAGATCAATTTCTAATATTCTTCAAAAAAAATTCCTAAAAAGCATCAATCTTTCCTATTACATCCCTTAAAACATCTTATTTTTATCCGCTTCATCGCGTTCTCCCGACTAATTCTTTAATAAAACCTCGATTGCTGAATAGGAACGGATGAATTGAACATAGCGAAACGTTATTCAAGCGTTAACAATTCTCTCGGGCGTCGGATTTTACGCGACGAAGTGCGGCGCGCGATTTTATCGCCTGTACACGTAGTTACGTTTAATTATTGTTTGCTCCCGGCCGAGAACGCGGGTAATTAACGATCGGCTGCGTCGTACATTAAATACATATACATGCATGTACGTATGTCGTTCGATGAATAATCGGAACGCGATTATTCATCGAACGACAAAAACGAACGAGTTTGCGTGCCGCGAGATCAAGATATATCTCGATCACCATGGCGTTTCTCGTCGTCGTCATCATCATCGTCGTCGTCGCCGTCATCGTGGCGCTTGACTTAATGGACGCGACTTATTCACGCAACTGACGCACGTTGACTGACGACGTTTCCGCGTTGTCCATTATAATCACGAACAACCGTTTCATCACACTTTTGCGGTTGGTGCAAAAATTGCACGCCGCCAGATTTTCTTCCTCGTTGAACGCGAACAAACAGGCTGTTAACCATAGTATCGGCATACTTTTTATTCTCACAATACAGTAATAGACGTGTTAGATTCGCGCGATTCGTGTGATCGATCCGGTAGAACAATTAGCATCAATTTTCACGAGCTCTTATTCCAATTTCTTAAATTGTACGCGCGCATAATTAAGATTTTGACAGCAGTCGAGAAGAAAAGAGGTGGAGAAGTGAAGGGGAAAAAAGGAAAATAAAATAGAAAATATGGAAAATAAAATAAACTGTCAGCAGTATCGACTTTTACGTGTAAATTTATAGCTATATTTATTAGATTATATAATCTCTCTTTCTCTCTCGCGTATAGAAAGATATATATTTACTCGAAATGTCACGCAGCTGACAAGTGCAATTATGCAATTAATGGACAACTTTATGCAGCCTCGGCAAATACAAGGTGTTTAAAAAAAAGAAGAAGATATTTTAAGGGGATAGTAAAAACAAAAGTCGAAAAGTCTTAATAAACATGGGTCCGCAAATGAGCCATTTTTTAGATATTTTTATTTTTTGTTTTGATTTTTTTATTTCCTTATTATTTTTATTTCTTGCTTTAAATTTTTATCTTTATTATAATTTATGTAAAAAAGTAATACAGCTAGTATTTTACTTTATCTTATTATAGAAAATGTTCAAAATTACCTCCTTCCGTGTTTATGCAAATTCATTAAATTTACATTTCTAGCCTGTTTCCTCAAAATCCAGCGAAACTCTAGCCTGATGCTATAATCAGGCGGATTTAGTGTTGAATTAATAAATAAAAATAAAAATATCAAAAAGAAAAAAATAAAATATCTCAAAAACGGTTCATTTGCGGATATATGGTTCATTAAGATCTTTTAATTTATTTCGGAGCATACTAAATTCGCTTTAAATATTTTTTTAAACACACTGTACGTTTTCAAATATTCTTAATATTTTCACATCATAAAATCCCATAAATAAATAAGTGACAAATATAAACGCAGAAAAATAATGATTAATTCCCTTTAACAGAGATAATTTGACTCTGATATGATTGATGCCTACCTTTTTAATGTTTATAAATATACACTGAGTAATCACTTAAAATCGTGACAAGACACAGTTCGTCTTCCCTATGACTCGAAGTAGGTTTTCAACGAGTATTTAATTAACTGAGTAATAAATTACCGTGAGATTTAGGAATAAAAGGAAGAAAAACTTTCCGAAACGACGAAACACGACTATGCTGACTGATTGCTGTCACGATGACTCACGGACAGTCGTATCTAGGTTCCTTTTGTTATAAAAAGATTCGACGTACCACGCGCGAAAGATTGCTACACCTCATCGCTCAACTGCCAACAACGTCGCGTATCCGTGTGTCTCGTGGGTGTTTCACCAGGTATACATGTCCGGTTCCCGCTCGTCGAGCATACGAGAAAAATTGCGCTAACTCGAGTAACCCGTAAGTTACGCGGTTGACAAGTGACAAAATGTAACATTTAATTTCGAATTTAAATATAACACTTTGTCCTTCGTCATTTCTTAATTTTTTATTCCTCTTCCATCCTCATAAGAATTTATTTCCATAATTTCCTCCTGAAAGAGTGCGTTACAACGCTTATTTCTTATGTATGTATAAATTTACCTCTTATTCATGGAAAAAGACCATTTATAAAAACCTATTCTGCGGTTTCGCGTGTTAGAATAATGAAATGCAGTCTACTCTCCTACTTCACCTACTCTCTCTGTCCCTCTTTCTCTTTCTCTCTCTTTTCGAGTCGTACTCTTCCCTTCTCTATCTCGTTCTCCAGATCGGACCAGGTACGAACAATGAATCGTGCGAGGGAATAGACTAGCAAACGAGTGGAATACCAATAAGCTGTGTTGCTTCGTCCGGTCCAGGAAGAAAATTTCCATACCCGGCTGTACTCGCGAGTCGCTATTTCGCCGAGGAAGGGAAAGATATACGCGAGTTTCCATGAATAATTTGACGGCGAACGGCCGACAAAACGTGCGACAATGCGCTGAGAAATTCAACCTGACGACAAAGGATGCCCGATCGAGTCTGGCCTCGTTAAAAAAAAAAAGAAAAAAGAGATGTGTGTATGTCTGATGGAATGAATTAAGACGACGTGGCCAAACGTGGAAGATCAACTATGCTGATCGCGTGAATGTGCACACATGCAGCTACGCACCTGGTCGTTCGTTCACTTCCGTCTCTGACAGTCGAGAAAACTTATTGCAAATAGTCATTACGCTCACATCCGGCGATGTAACGACAGCGTCTTGAGCAGGATCAGATACCGCGATTGAGAAAATTATTCATTAGATGCTCTCTTGTGCATTTCACTTGTCGCCCAAAAGTTTCCTACCCCATTTATTCATTTATTTAAAAAAAAAATTTTGCAGATATTTCGCAAATTATACTTTTCTATCGTCTCCAAAATACAAAGATTTTATTTGCTAGAAAAAAAGACACGAGTAAAAAAGAGAAAATGAAAAAAGAAGGCTTTTCTTATTTAAAAGAGCGATAAATAAATAAATAAAATTATCAATTTTTATTAAATTAAAACGTATAATTAAAAGCAAATTAGTATACATATAATGAACACGTTTTTATCGCGGACGTAAATGAAGAAATGAATAAGATATGAGGAAGCTAAGTAGACTGAATAATAACACACTTTTTTTGCCGTCTATACTTGAACCTCGCTGAAAATAGGTAGACGCATTCGATTGCGTAAAATATGAACGATCTGCATTAATGCGGAATTTAAACGCGAATAGGCGTGCACATCCGGTTGCTTGCGCTGCCATTTCTGAAGAACAAGATACGCTTAAAAGACGAATCGTATCGATTGAAAGCAATCATGCTGGCGCCAACTATTTAAAGTTTTTGCATTGCAATAATTTTTTTCGTTTCTTTTTTGCCTAATCGTCGCATCGGAATCAATCGATTTCTGAATTTGACAATTAAAACTGGAAATTACATATAATAGAACTCTATTTTATGCGTTTCTAAATAAATTTTTCAAACTCAGAATTTATAGCAAATTTTCACATCATGATAATAAATTGAATTTTAGTTTTAAATTTCTCATTCTTTTACATCAAAGATACGAATAATTTTTATCGCACTATTTTTCGAACAGATATGAAATGTGACTAAAAGAAAATCTCATAACATTTTGAATAAGTGCACTTAATTATTATAGTGTGTTTGTTCTCTTAATATTGTATGTAAGTGCATATTATATTATTATAGTGCGTGT